TCTCTGAGTGTGCTGCATTAATGCATGAGTAAGACTTGGTTCAAACCAATCAGCGCATGCTATTGTGTATGCGGTGCAGCTTCATTAATATGAAAGAAGTGTGAAAAAAATAAGAATTGTTTGGAGATACGGGTCGTCAGTGTTGCTTTTGAAATGTGCTGCAGTTAAGGTTTTGTTTTTATTTTCCCTCTATGAGAGCGCAGCTAAACTCGCGTGCATGCGACACGAGGCAGAAATATGTTTGTACAGAAAATTTTTTACTCAAAAGCTTTTCGCATTGGAAATCGTGAAATCCAGATTTGCTGCTCGTCTCCTTTAAAAAAAAAAAAAAAAAAAAAAAAAAAAAAAACGCAGTTCCAGTATGTGTTGATTGTCCTGTCTCTACAGATTTGGTAAGTGTGTACGATCAGTGCCCTTTCTTTATTCATTCAGATGGCAAAGTTATAGTTTGTATCGTCAGCAGTACTCTTCCAGTGTTTAAAGACGTACCTTAGCCAAAATGACTCTAAGTTACTTAGTTTACATTAATATATCACTACAATATTATGGACTGAAAGATCTGCTGTAAATGCTGCTCTCTGAGTGTAAATGTGAACACTGCTAGCAAACTATTGCTGATTGTCATGTTGAACTTTCACCGCATTTTGTGACAGGATTAACTACCGAGTGCATCTGAGTTACCGAGAAATGCAGAGTTTTTTTTTCTCTTATACGACGTGCGGTATCAAACATTTCATTGTCATTAAACACAGTCACTGTCTTTCTCCCCTGCTTGTGTGTTTGTTTTTCCTCGGTCAAAATCAGCTTGTGTGGAAAATGGAAACTCCCATTTTTATTCAAATCCTTCCCCTTTTCCCTCCCCTGACACTCCCACCCAAACAGAACTAGACACACCCACTTTTCTGACTTTTTCCAAACTAGAGGTGGGAAAACACCCTGCTGAAATGGGGGTTTCATGGCCCTTTAAGCATTGTTTTTTAGAAAACCAATATGTTCACTTGTAAGTTTCTTAAATATCTGCAAACATATTATGGAATTTTTATGCTTTAGAAGAGTCAAAAACGTACATAAAGCACCTTAAAACGTACTACTTCTCATAAGATCTTCAGACCAATCGAATGCTTTCTTATATCTGTGTCCTACCCCAACAAGAAGCAACAGAAATGAGGTACATGCAGATTCAGATTCAGCATTGCTTTGAATGACATTTGCTGTCATGAGCGGGATCCATTTTTACTCAGTGACTGTAATTTTAGCAGAGCTGTGTTATAAATAAAACGCTACTAACTATAAAAGAAAGAAGCTTCTCAGATTGTTCTACCCTGTCTTTGTGCCATAGTTAAAATTATGACACACATAAATCAATATCCATGCATTTTAAGCCACTTCAGAAAAAATTTAAGTGCATGTGTGGTGAAAGCATTGCTTTTTTGTGTGGGTTTTTTTCTGTCACATCAGCTTTTGACTTTGAAACCTAAACAAAATAGATAATCTTATATTCTGATCTATATTTGTGCTTGCATTTCTCATTAAATGTGACCACAATGCTATGCCTGTAGTTATTTTGTTGTCAGTAATTTGCATTCTGAATTCGAGTAATGATATTTATTGGGTATTTGCTACCAACAGTAAACGCGAGGGAAAACTGAAGAAGTGTTTGGCTGTATATAAGGAAACTTGTTTGCGCTCTTTGAACTGCTGTGATAAGGACACTCATAACTAAGACAGTTTGAAAGGGGGAAGGTATGAAGATTTTTTTTTCCTCTTATTGAACAAAAGAATCGTCAGCTTTTAAAGTTCATACTGCCACTTAATGTGTCATCCTGTAGTGGGAAGTGTAGAAAAGCCTAGCTTGACTTAAATTTGACTGTTTGGCAGCAGGTCGATTTCTTTTTTGTTCTCGTGGCAGTCTGACAGTCTTCCTGCACTACTGTCATTAGTTGGACCTGCAACTCAAGAGGGGAAGGAGATTGAAACAAAAGCTGGAAACAGGACATCTCAGCAACACCACACACACACACACACACACACACACACACACACACACACACACACACACACACACACACACACACACAACAATACTCACACATATTTAGGTATACACACATCACAACAAATAATCTGTCTCTCTGTTCCATTTAAAATAGTGCTGCTGTCAGTATATAATTGTTTTCAATCCATTCTTTTAGAACATTACTGATACAATGTAAGAAGAGACAGCCACCGCGGTGCAAGCATTCTTTTTATTTTTTAGAGCAATTAAGTTTTTTCATAGCTTTTAGTGTATAGCCTTTTGCTTAAAGGGAAAGTTAAAAAAAAAAAAAGTAAATAAATTGTCATCATTTACTCTCTCTCGCTTGTTAGGAGTTCTTTAGTTGAACATTAAGGAAGATATAAGGAAAATGTTTGGAAAGAACAACTATCAGCTTTTTTTGTTTTCTTTTTTTTTTGCTCCTATGGATGTTGATAGCTACTTTTTTCCAACCTTCTTCAAAAAATGTTATGTTCAACAGAATAACAAAACTCACAAAGGGATTGAACAATTTGATTTGAGTAAGTAAATAGTGAGGAAATCATTTGTATGTTTCCATGGTATCAAATGATTTTCAAATAAACTGTTGAAGAGAGCAGTCATATACTTTGTAGTATTAGTGCAGTAAACACAGTACACAGTAAACACAGTAAAACACAGTAAACCTTTGTGCTAACAGGGACACTATCAAATATGACATTTACTTTTTAGTCTTATCACACCCCACCCTCTGTCCACTTTCCTGTAGGGGTGGAAACATAGGTTAACTTGCGATGCAATATTGTCACGGTATATTGTCTCCACTATTGATATATCACTATAATCACATTATCATTAATTTCTCTGATATATCAGTATATTACTATATTTGTGAATGAATGAAAAAAATGCATCAAAGTTATAAGATACATATCTTTTATTAATCACACATTTACAGAATTGAAACAATGTAAAGCAAGCACATAGGAGTCAATCAACCTTGAAAATGTTCTCTAAATCTCTAAATTAAGGCTGATTTATACTTCTGCATCACACGTATACTCCGGCACAGCCTCTGCCTGGTCACATAGCCCGCGTAGACTGATGCAGACACTGATGCCCACCTCTCAAGAAATGTAACTGTGTTGAAGTGATGCACAGCGCAACTGTGATTAGTCGGTTTGGTAGCTGGGATGACGAGCGTGGGCGGTGCTGAGAGCCTGGAGCCCGATTCAGCAGGTGTTTACAAGTGTCAAGTCGCATGAATGAGCCCCAGATGGAGACTTTGTTTTGTTTACCTTATGATTAAAGTGGTTGCAAGTCCACCGGTTCCTGCCTCTGAATGAACGAGTTTGAGCTACTTGTAGCGTTTAGAAACAAACAAAACACTTGTGAAGAAACTTAACCCAACTGAGGAACATAAAAGCCAACACAATGCAACACAAACAGCACGCAGAAATATAAATGCACACACACAAGGCATGCACCGTAAGTCATGCCGATCACTTGAAGCAGAAGTATAAGTCAGCCTTTAGTCATAAACAGCGGAATCTCAATTTAAAGGAATGTGCATTTAATAAAAATAGCAGTTTATTGCTTTCTAGTTTTCTGTAAAATTAAGTCACTTTTTTTACAACTTGCCCAACTTAACTGATGTATTATGCTTAGCCCTGGTTTATCTGTAATGCAAAATCATGGATTCCCACTAGAATATACAGAATAGAACAGCAACTGATCAGAATGCTCATAGATGTGAGCACAGACTCCTCGGAGCACATACGATGTCTCCAGTAGTGGAGAACATTGGATATTTAGTCATCAAATTAAAAAATATTTTTAAACTATCAATTCAAATTATATGTTCATGTCCTGTTATCTTAATCTAATATACATTTTGGTGGAATGAAATAGTTTGAGCTCATATTCCTGTGTGAAGTCTCAGAGCACTGACTGCAGGAACACACACGCAAGTGATCTAGCAAACGGAAAGCGGCTTTGTAAGGGAGAATCTAGTTGAAGATTTAGAGGTAGGACTTCTAAAACACACTAATACCTTGGTCCAGCTTGAACAGAAGAAGGTATCTGTATGTATCAATAAGATTTCCACCATTGCATTGGCTTATCTGTCAATAGTTTAAATGACGGCGCTATGTCTCTTATGGATTGTTGATCTGCCATTACTGCATTACTGGGAGTGGCTGGGTGTACTGCAGCCAAAGCAGTAAAATGCTGCAGTCAGTAAAAGACTGATTAATTATTTCAGATCTTTCGTACATTTAGATAAATATTGATACTTGGCGCCAGAGTATCAATAATGTATTGTGCCTGGAAATATGACAATATATCAGCATATCAATATTTTGTCCCATCCCTTCTTTCCTGTGTTCTTTTTTTTTTTTTTTCTGTTCAGAATCTACAACCACTCTGTGAACTGATGAACTTTACCGCAAATTACAGTCATTTCTGTTGAAAATGTGAACACAATGGCCAATCAATGGTGTTTATAAATGTGCTCAAATGTTAGCTGGAAATTCACGTTTAAAAAAATTCAGTACTGATTGGACCTAAACTCCAACACTACACTGCATACATATTTAGCCATAAAATGTGTATATTTGAAAATACTTTGTAGTAATTTTGGAGCGAACATTAGGTTCAGCGAGGTTCAAACTATTTTCCAGAAAATTTAATGTAATAAGACACAATTATTGATTTAAAAAATGCTGTATGTATATTCTAGATCACGTCACTGTACGGTTAGACAACTTTGTTGTTTTAATTTCATGTCCACATGCGACTCTTATATGTAGGTTAAAGATGACATCTCCTGTGATGTATATGTGATTAATCCTCTTTCCTGTCTTTTTGTGCGTCCTTTTTTACTGACCATGCGTTTAAATGTGACATTAGGTCCCAGTAGATTTTAATTAGCCCTATTATGCTGTTGAATGAATCTTTAAATTGGTGCATGTCTGTGTGCCCTCAGCCTCGCTGTTCCCCATTGAGATCTCTGCTGTGAGGAGAGACCACGAATTTCTGGATCAGGACTCTCTCAAGGCGTTATGCAGGTAACCATTTCATATTCACTTAAATATTAATTACAGCTCTTTCAATTTATTCCATCCAACACAATAATCCCTCGGTCTGAGTTTCACTCCCAGTGGACCTGACTTTCACCCGTGGCATTTGTCGGGGTGGAAAAACACTTGATGAAAATTCATAATGTACTAATAATAGTCTTTATGACATGCATTAAATAGCATGAGTCACGTGTCATGGGCGAGCCTCTGTCAATAGTCTGTAAGTAACCTCCTCTAATCACCATGACGACTGGCCTCGTGTCAGCAGGCCTTCCTGCGCTTCATTGTTCAGCGGTTCTTTCTTTTTTTCTGCGTTATATATTTGTTCGCCCCCTTCCATATGGAATAAGTGATTAAGTGACCAGTCACACCTGCACAAGTCACATTGCAGCGAATGGCCTTTTCTAAAAGATGGAGAATAAACAGAAAGGGGGAAATTATATTTCCCAGGGTGCAACTTGTCCTAAGGCAATAGAATAAGAGAGAGATAGAAATTGAATTCAGCCTTTGTCCCACAGTGGCTACACACTGTTAGCAACTGATAAACGCACACACATGCACATGCACAGCAATTCAGTGGATTAAAAGAGGAACTGAAATCACAATTGGAAACACACACATACACACTAACACACACACACACAGGTAAATCTGAAATACAAAATACAAGCCAAAATAAATGTATATTTAAAGCTGTATATGTTGAGACAGGTTTGTTTGTAAAATTAGATTAATGCTAATGTCAATGCTGCTCAACACTAATAAACACTCTGAGTGGCCTGATGAATGAAGCTAGGACATTCAGTAGATTAGAGCTACTTTCACACAGTAAATATTTCTGGAACAACTTCAGCGGTTGATTCAAAGAAGCACTGTTCACACAGGCAAGGACGTTCCAGAATTTTTCCGGAAAAGACTGTTTAAACATCCATTCCAAAATACTGGTAAATTCTAACATCAATAAGCAGTAATGGCCTCTAAACTGCTGCGCTTTTGTTTTTGTAAACATAATAGGGGTCAGGCTTTTATTGATGGTTTCACTTTTATTTAAAGCTTTAGCATTCATGCAGCTCCTTTGTCCTAGAGACATTCAAAGGCAGAGGAGCGAACCACAGCTAAAAGTGTACACATTTGACTACATTACAAATTCTCTGGATGGATGAGTCTTGTGAACAGCTTGGATGTAAACGTATGGAGGAGCACTTTTGCAGGTCAAGATGTACATTTATGTGCTTGCACTCATCGGAGCACTCCTTCATGTGCACGAGCGCTAACGCAGCTAAACGCAGGACTTGCAGGTAAACTCACAGTAGTGTATCAGAAACATTTTATCAATTGTTTTTTCACAGATGGCATTAATAATGAACATAGAAATGTTATCTGACTTACAACTATAGCAGCTAAATGTGACTGGAAAAGTAATAAAGGTTTTTATTTTTATAAACAGCACAGATGTGAATGCGTCTGTATGTTCTAATTGGCTCACCTCCATAATTATAATTATCCTTTAATCCTGTTAATTCATTTTAATGTAAAATGGTATATGAGAAGGCCAAATGACAGCTTCATCTGTTTTATGGATGAGAGTGTGGGAAAAGATGTTGAATTTAGCAGATGCTTTTGTCTTGTGTACATCACATTCTATGTTAGCATTAGTCAGCTCAAAGTTGCATTCACGGAGTACATTATGTCTGTATCATATCTGCAGGGTTCCCACTGGTCCTTAAAGTCTTAAACAGTCTTAAATTCAGTTTGAACACTGTTAAATCATCTTAAATTGGTGGACTGCAAAAAAGATGAATTGCAGTATGGCCTGATGGGATTATTAAACTTCAAAAGGCTCTGAATGAATTTATCAAATATGAGTGCGGCCCATTTTCATGTAGAAACAAGAAACCGTTGCATATTCCACAGGCTTACAGCTTCAGAGCCATTCGCAAACAACAAATAATAATCATGAAAAGAGTTTGCTTTTGATGTAGTGTTAATAAATTAGTACAGTTTTGTTTCTTGTGTTGTAGGATGTTGTGAATGAGTGCACATTTGATCTCCCTCATCGTTTTGAATGAGCCAAAATAGTCCAAATGTACAGTTGAAGTCAGAATTATTAGCCCCCCCCCCATTTGAATTTTTATTTTATTTTAAATATTTTTATTTAAAATAATAATATATTTTATTGGGGGTGAATAATTCTTACTTCAACTGTATTTCAAGATTGTCCAGACTTAAAAATCCATGCAAAATAGTCTGTATCATTAAACTCAACCTTGTTTCTTGTAGCTTTTGTTTATGTAACATGATTTAAAGTATAACAACATTACTGAGTACAACACTTTTATTATTTAGATATATTGCAGTTGAAATGCATAATTTATGATGACATATGTTTGTTCTCTCAGCCTGTTTGTTCAGTTCTTAAAATATGGTTTATCTCAAATCTGATTTAGATTGCACTGCACTACACTGAATAAATATACCGATGCAATGCTGCAAGCACCTTGTTTTAGTACAAGTGTGTTACACAACCCTAGTCCGACTTAACATTTTGCATTAGTATGTGACATCAAAGTTTTCCCTGTTTACAGCAATATCAGAATCAGTTTGTTTGTACAGAATCACTTGTATTGCTCGGAATGTATTCCGGCCGTCACACAGCCGATGGCCCTTTTTGCATTAGTGAGGTGATGAGCTCATCTGTTCATCTTTCTACCACAGCAGGTGGCTAGTGCACTTAAAGATCCCTGACTGTGCATGGAGTGAATTCAAAGAGAGGCAGACCGTCTTACCGCCTCAGTGAATATGTCAGTCTGTGGCCATGTTGGCAAATAGCTTTAGGATGAACTAGACTGCCAAGTTTACCTCATCAAAAATGCAGAGGTGAAATTTGTCATGCTGTCAGTCAGCTGTCTATTGGAAGCTGCTATGAGCTTTATTTGTCCGCTACCTAAAATGTATATATTTGCATGCTATTTTCTGAATTGATGTACTGTTGTAGCTGTTACTTTAAATGTAGTACGATTGGGGGCAGGGTTAGTGTCTATAGGGATGCTCGATTAAAGAGTTTTTTTTTTTTTTTTTTGTCTTGTCGATATTGTTATCACAAATGTTAAAAATGATTATGAATATGCCTTAAAGCTAGAATTTATTGTAAAAATTAAATATTTTAGAAAATTATTAATAAAATGAACATGATACAAACATTGCATGATTTAAGCATATTCTCCACTGTAAGAATTACACTTGGTTTGTTTCCTATTAAAGCTTCAATTTTACAATTATCTTCTCTTACTTGCCCATTTTCTTTTTTAACACTTTGTTCATTGATTACATAAGACATATTGGTTTATGTCAGGTGTTTTCAATTTCGGTCCTGGAGGTCCAGTGTCCTGTAGATTTTAGCTCCAACCCCAATCAGACAGACTTTGCTAGCTATTCAAGCTATTTTTTCTAACATCCTTGCATGTGTCTTGAGGCAAGTTGGAGCTAAACTCAGCACGACACTAAACATCCAGGGCCGAGTTTGAGAAGCCCTGGTTTATCTGAATAATTGGCAAAAATGTTGCATTTTGACACGTTTGGCCATTTATGTTAAAAGATTGCACGCGCATATTCTGTTTTGTTGTTGAGCACATGCAAAGAACAGTACCACTCCTCTTTCATACTTTTACAAACATTAATAAGTCTAATACATCAATGAATCAAGCATGTCCTGCTGAAAAACTCATGTCACATGATTTTGCTGATTTCCACATGAAATTTTACAACGAATGTGGACTCCTGGAAAGGGGTCAGAATATTAGACAATAATCATTTTATTACCATATTCTATATTATACTCATTTTTTTATATAATTGTTAGAGGCAAAAATTTAAATTTGTATTTTGATTATTTCACAACCTTATGTGTAGGTTCTTTCTCGGGGTGCAGTCTAAAGATATATATAAAGATATATATCTCCGGTGTAGGAGAATTGGGTAAGCTAAATTGTCTGTAGTGTACAGTATGTGCGCACGTGTGTGTGTCCTGGTCCTCCAGGTGGGAGGTTGAGCATTGGGCTAACAGCCCACCTCATAAAATCTAGATGTTACAAATCACCAATATAGTGCGGCTAAAAAGCAACTTCGATGTAAAGCAGCCCTGGAAGTAATTAATTTGATTAATCATGCCTTATATTAACAGTTTACACTGCTCCTGGCGCTGTAATGGCAATGTCTAGACCTCTTCAACTAACCACAATGCTGCCATTCATTCATTCATTTATTCATTTTCTTTTCGACTTAGTCCCTTTACACATCCTGGGTTGCTACAGTGAAATCAACCGCCAACTTATCCAGCATATGTTTTTACACAGTGGATGCCCTTCCAACTGCAACCCATCACACTTATTCACACACATAGACTACGGCCAATTTAGCTTATCCAATTCACCTATAGCACGTCTTTGGACTTGTGGGGATAACCAAAGCATCCTGGAGGTATCCCACGTGAACACGGGGAGAACATGAAAACTCCACACAGAAATGCTCACTGACCAAGCCAAGGCTCGAACCAGCGACCTTCTTGCTGAGGCAATTGTGCTTCCTGTGCCACCACATCACCCCAATGCTGTATATATATTGTTCAAATCAATGTGTTGTATTCTTCACATTCTCCTCCTTTTATTTTCAACAATTTCCTTTTCCCTTTCTTATCTCTCTTTATGTAGTGCTTAAAGCCCTTAAAAAAAGGAAATACCTCATTTTTATGCTTTTGCAGAATGATGGTCTAGAGCATTGCCACGCACTTTAAGTTAACCATCCATTTAAATGAATAAAAGTCCAAATAACTTTATGGTTTTTGAAAATGGAAGTTGTGCTCATGACCATGGCATTGCGAGCGCCAAGTTTTAATGCTTGAACTACAGTAATAAAACTACAGTAATAAAAAAAGAGGCACTCTCGCATGTTTTATTTATTGTCATGGAGGTTTAGTTTGGTCACTATTTAAATATGTACTTTCCCATTATTATATATATAAAAAATCACAAGAATTGCTGTCTAATTCTTTAAAAGAGGACAAAAAGTGGAAAAACTGACACAGCTAAAAGTCTTTGTTTTTGTGTTCTTGCCTAATGTCCTTGTAGCTTTCGTACTGACTCCTGTTCACCAAGAGTAATTAGGTTAATATATTAATGTGCACAAACTCAAATACATGTATTATCCTTATCTCAAATGCCACACTGAACACCCCCTCTTGTGTTTGTGTTTTCAAGGATTAGTTTGCTCTGCCATGCAGAACAAACATCATGTCCAGCAGAATCCCATGGCCATTGGCACCAAACACTATATTGTGACTAAACATGTTCTACACAACCATTATGTTTATTGATGTAGTTCAACTTCACCAGTCAAAATGGATGGCAATTTTGTTAGTGTTTAGATTGGCTGCTTTAGATTCTCTGCATCTCGCCGTCTCTTTAACAGTGATGAAATCTTGAGACCATCACATGCAACAATTGTTTATTTTGCTTGGGTATCTGCATGTCAGAATCAGAATGAGACCATAGTGTGCACACTGAGTGAACTAATTAACTGAGAGCATTGAATGCCCATGAGCGATTCACTCACTCGCACACTTATGAGGCCACTCACATCAGCTGTAAACAAACTGATAATCAGATAATGACAAGGTGATGAATGCCTCTCTACCTCTAACAAAAGTACTGTCATGTCAGAGCTGATTGGGCACAGATGGAGGGAGCAGCAGAGTCAAGTTCAAACCATTCTAGAAAAACTGCATGAGCTGATAGATTCATCAATCTGTCAAGAGTGGCATTAATGCAATTCAGCCAGGAGCGTCAGCCAGGCTCAGTCAACATCTCAACACACACTCATTATTTATTTATACATATATATGTGTGTGTGTGTGTGGTTTACAACGTCTCTCCATAGGTGTAATTTATTTTACACTGTAAAAAACACTATTTGACCTTAGCCTACTCCTACCGATCAACCCAACCCTTACAAGAAAATGTACCTGATTATGAATTTCAAAAACCCTGTTAATTATTTTTAATATTTTGAATTAAAAAGACACAAGGCATGTCTATAAGCCACCTCAAAGTCTGCGACACACCAAGTTGATACCTATCAACTATCCCCAGATTGTGTATGGATCCATTTGAACCAAAAAGTTGCCTGTGAATACACCAAACGAATGCACACATTCTGAGATTACATTATTAGATGAGTCTTTCCGCGCCGGTGGGGGTCAGTAATCTGTTTTGTCATTTCACAAATGGAAATTGAAAGATGAAATGTACTCAGACAAAGTGTAAACTAAGCATTTAGTACCATTGTTGCAGTAATTGTCACTTACCATGGATGCATTGGCTTGTGCAAATATGTCTGATAATGTAAAAATCTATATCATTTGCAAATATTTCTGATATGTTGTGAAATTAGGCTGGCTTCTTTGTGTTTCTTCTTGACTTGAATTGTTTACTTGTGTATGTCACTTTACTTTGTGTTCTTTAATTTGGATTTATTGCTAGTTAACCAATCAGAGCACACTCTTTAGCCGATTGATAGCTGAACAAATGCTGATTGACAGCCTGACAAAGCCCAATGTCAGACCATTGACTTGCTGTGTTCCAGCCTTAAGAGTACCACTAGGTCATACCACAATTTTGTGTCTTTGTAACTACATAAAGAAGTACACACAAGTACTGAATGAGAAGAACTTGATGACAGAAAAAAAATCTGATTCACTGCTAGTTAACCAATCAGAGAATTCTCTTTTAGCTGATAGCTAGCTGGACCAATGCTGATTGACACCCTGGCAAAGCCCAATGTCAGACCATTGACTTGCTGTGTTCCAGCCTTAAAAGTGCAACTAGGTCATACCACAATTTTGTGTCTTCTTAACTAGACAAAGAAGTGCATGTAAGCACTGAATGAGAAGAACTTGAATAAATTGATGACAGAAAAAAAAATTCAATATCATTGTTAGACAATCAATCAGCACTCTCTTCAGCTGATAGATTGCTAGACTTATGCTGACTGATAGCCTGACGAAGCTCAATGTCAGACCATTAACTTGGTGTGTCCCAGCCTTAAGAGTACAACTAAGTCATACCACAATTTTGTGTCTTTGTAACTACATAAAGTACACACAAGAACTAAATGTAAAGAACTTGAATAAAGTGATGACAGAAAAAAAACAAAGTTAAAGGGAACTCTAATCCACTATGTTGTGAATTTGGAAATGTCATTATTGAGTTTTGTGCGCAATTGTACAGGTAAAGTAACACAAATTTTAGAAAAAATTGAATCGTTGATAATGCAAAAGTTGCTTTGTTGTGATGGGGCATTTCATAGGGCATACTAATGTGAAATGTGGTAGAAAAGCAGATCTGTAATATAGTTAACCATGTGATATAGTGCAACTCTAATAATATAATCTATATGCCGAGGTTCATGAAAAATCTATCCTCTGTGTAAGTAAGTCTGTAGTGAACAGACATTAGCAATTTTGTCTGCTTGTATTATTCATTCGTTTACATTAAATTTACATAGTAAATTAACATTTAATCCTATATAGTTAGATTTTTTTCCCTTTATTGAATGTTGATACTAAAGATAATGTATTTTTCAATGTTTCATACTGTAAATTTTGTTTATAAAATAGTTTTAACGACATTAATGAACCAAAAATTGAGTTGTAAATGTAAACTTAAATTAGGGATTTGTCATGTCTTTATTTTATTTTATTTTTTATTTTAACGGCTATGTTTTTCATTGAGTTTGAGAATAAAAGTTATCACCAGACACATTGTTTTTTTAAAGATTTAAAATTTTTGCAACAACAGATTCCTTTTGGTTGCTCAAAGGCCAGTCCTTTCAGGCCCGTTTTATACAGGCATTATAACAGATAAGATTTTCTTTAATCGTTGGTCTAAGCAATTTGGTTGATGCAATCCTATTGATTAAATGCTCAATTCCAATCATTCCACTGATTAAAAACTGCAGTGAAGAGATTCATAACTTGACAAACAGAAGCATTGTAGCTGCATTTGATTGGATTGCTCAAATAGGGTATTTTTATGTGCAGCTTGCACATTGTTAAAACGACGATATCTGTAATATTGTAGACATTAAATAAACTCCATAGCACTCAGATAGGCTTTCTCTGTTTCTGTTTGTGTGTAGGAGGCTAACGACCCTGAACAAATGTGCTGCGATGAGCTTAGAAGTTCATTTCCAGTGTAAACAGGTAAACAAACAAACACGCTGTACACTTCTGATTCCGTTATGTGACATCTGTTCTTTACTTGTCTCTTTACATTAACTTTGACATAAACAGACATATCCTGATATTTATTAATTTAGTATATTGTGATAATGAACATGCATATTAATGATATTGTGGGTACTTCAGAATACTATGACTACTTATTTATTATTTATACTTTGAGTGCAATTTAATAATATTAAGTTTGTTGTGTTATGCTTGAAGACCTAATAGGCAATTTATGTTCAAACATTTTTTTTTTTTTTTTTTTTTTTAACATGTAAATTGGGCCTATGACATTGACAATGTTGTGACTACAGACCTTTTGTTCATTAACTGTAAATTTAACAAATGCAACTACATAGTTAATTTCATGTCATGAGTGCTACAAAAGCATTTATTATTCTTAGGTTTTTTTTTATCCCTTACTTAACTAATATATTTTTTGTGTTTTTTGTGGCAAATTGCAATGTAATATGTGGAAAAAAAGTACATTCAGGATGGTTGATGTCTTGTACAGCAGTCGTATATAAGTATATGCATTTGAACTCTCTAACGGTCATGGGGATTTGAAGTTCCCGGATGAGCCTGCTTTTTAGTCACACCTTTGAATGTCGAGAGTGACCTATTAGAAGTGAATATTTCAGGCAGAATTGTTATAATGCATACTGTTTTGATTGCATTTCAATCAAAAAATCGTAATTTTATTAAATGGAGTTAATAACTAATCGAATTAAGTTGTATTCTTTAATCTACAACTATAATGTTTTTATTTCTCACTGTTGACTTTTATGCATTACCTAATGTCACTAATAAGAATTTATTAAACTTTATAAGTGTTTCCTATTGTACTTTATAATCCTTTTGCAATTTAATTTGTTTAAAACATTTATTTACTCTGAACATGTGTATACAATAAAGCAATATGTTAAGTATTTTTAGCTATTGTACCCATTAAAGCAATGATTTTTCCAGCTTTGGTGATATCCTGATAATATCAAGATAATGTTGTATATTGAGATATTGCGATTGATACATTGATATGATACAGTCATAAGCCTACTTCAGCTGGAAAGTTACTTTTCAAAACAAAACAATAATTTTAAAATAGGGCTGGGTGATTCCTAAAATCAAAATCTCTTAATTTAACATTTTAACTCGATTACGATTCATGAAAGATTATTTTGTTTAGTTTTTTTACCCTCATAGTTCACTAACAGATTTTGTACAGTAAATATGTTTATATGAATATGTTATAAATATGTTACATTACAAGTAAGATATTTTTGAATGAAGGGTGCATTACTTAATTTTAAAGTGATTAAAGGAAACGCACACTATCTACAATCTATGATTATTTATTAAACATCTAAAATTAAACCACACAGTACCTAAAACGAAGTTACTTGTTTACTATAAATATTTTAAATAGTGCATTTATTGCATCTTCTGTAAACAAATATTCCGATGTATATTTGTTTTTTGATAAATAATAATTTTAATGTAATGGAAAATATGCCCTCTCAAGGCATCTCTGGGACAGCTTCCAATCATTTTCAGTGAGGCTTGGGAATGGGTTCATCGTCCTACTTGACCAGATATAAAGTATAAAACAGAGCTAGGTCACATGACTCCACATGCAGTTTAATTGAAAGTAATCGAAAAAAATCAACATGTAAAAATTTGATTGATTGTCGGTTCTGAATGTCGATTTCGATTACTTTTTGATTAATCGCCCAGCCCCATTTTAATCTGGGGCCTCTTGTTTATGCTACTTTAACATGATGAATAGTGAGTCATAAAAAGTTTTTGTCATCTAAATGTGTGTCTGTGTCTGTTACCATCAGCAGAGTGAGGACTCCGAGGAGGACGATGCGTGTGCTCTTAGCTCTCGCTGGGCCTTTCAACGAGAGAGTAAAACTTGGTCCCGTCTCCGCACTCTCTCACCGACTCCTGTCTCCCCAGGCAACCGCTCCTCAACCTTACGACCCTCAGGCAGCAGCGATAGTGTACTGAGTGACATCAGTCTACTAGAAGTTACGTCCCTGACCTCTGACCTCAGCAATAGTAGCTTGAGCCTAGACAGTGCTCGAGAAACAACTTCTCCAGAGGTTGTACCTTTCAGTGGAGTCAATGAGGGTGCATCGTCAGTTTTTGTCTCAGCCAGCAAAGATGAGAACGACGACACAGGATCTTCATCTTCTCTTCCATCAGTTAGAGAAAAGCCAAAGCGTCCTTCTAGATCATTTTTACGAAGGAAAGAGTCAGTAAAGAAGCGGGACAGTGAGAATGAGAAAGTCTTGAAAAGTGTTTCGACTGTAACTCGGCATCAGCCACTTTCAGGTCTGCACTGCACGTCTGATGCAAGCTTGCCTGGCCAAACCACAAATAAGTGCCGAAACACCAAAGATCCATCATGGAGGGCACATACCATATGTCGGAGTAATGTTAGCCAGAAAGTAACTCTGCACAAGCCTCACAGAGCATGTCTTTACCTGGAAGACTACCAGTTGACTTGGGAGATTCCCAAGTCAACCAGTCACAACAACCGTCAGAGGAAAGAGGATCGTGTGGTCCACCTCCCCTTTGACCACAAGCCTGGAACTTTCCCCAAATCTCTGTCAATTGAAAGTCTCTGTCCTGTCTCTGTTTCTGAAAGTCCTGACCATATTGACTGGGCAGGAGTAGACGGAGACCTTTCATTGGATGGAAGTGTTAGTCGGAGTGGGTCACAAGACTTTCTGTCAGGTTTCGGGCAGAGGAGGAACTCCATTAGTTCACTTGGAAGCATTTATGATAATGTTCCAGAAACGCCAGGCAGCCCAGGTGACATTTTTGACCCTGGAAAAAAGAAAGTCTTCCAGCATCTTGATGACATTTTACAGCACGTACACGGGCTACAGCACAACATTGAGGAATGGTCACGCTCCCTTGGTATTCAGCCACAGGATCAATCGAATGCAGAGACTGTGTCTACAGCAGACACAACATTACCCAGCAGTCTGAACTATGATGAGCAATCCATGTCAGATGTTGGGACCACAGTAAGCGATTACGATAGTGCGGGAAACTCTGTGAATGAGGGAGAAGGAGAAGGAGAAATGAGAGAGAGGAGAGACTCTGGTGTGGGGGCATCACTTACAAGACCCAGCAGGTGAGTAAAACTTATGGTTACACTTCACAGACTAAGGAAATTCCTGCCTGTCAACACTTCTGAATGCAGTAGGTCCTTATCCAGACAAAGTGTTTGTGAGGTTGTGAACGAATATGACAGAGAGAGAGCGAGAGCGAGAGATGTGTCTTGGTAAACTGAAGTCTTGTGACAGTGAGGGTTGGGTGTACTTTAAAAGCCAGCTAGTCTGTGTTTGGGATTAGATTTTTTCCATTTTAAAATGGAAAGTCTTTAAGCAAACATCACTGATGATGATAATTAAAAGATTTTTTTTTATCAAACCCTGGGGTACACAAACTCTGTTTTCTAAAAATATCCCTGTTTTTCCCCCAATAAAATACCTTTCTTAAAATAACATTTATTTAAAAATTGTTAAAGTATTATTGTAAGTATCACTTATAACACAATAATTTTTCAGTTACTTTAAGATCCCCTATTATGAGTTTTTGAAAATGAACTTCCATGTAGTGTGTAACACAGCTCTAAGTGAAGTGAAATATACAGCTAAGGCTTAAATCTGAAAGTGGACAGTTTTTAAAACTATTGATTCATCTATAAAAGAGTCGACTCATAGTGGTTTGAATAAATCATCTTGATAACGAGTCTTTAGCTGTTTCAGTGTGACGTGGCTACGAAACATGGGCCCCGCCTAATTGTTGTGCGCACAGACCCGGGAAAATTAATTGTTGCGGCCCTGCCCACTAGCACAGTTGCAAAAAAAAGGAAAACAAACAGATCCTGAAGTCATGAGTCATGAAGAGGCTGTGCTTACCCGGTTATTATTGGAATCTGAGGGAAAGGAGTGCTTCAGCAATCTACAAGTTTACAATGGGAGATTAATCGGCCGTTTGTTAAAGGATGGATCAGAAAAGACTATTGATGTATGAGACTTTCTCAGAGCTTCAGAGAACTTTCAGTACACAGCTCATGGATTAGTTTCTTCCTCCGTTTTGTAATGTACAGACAATACACCAGGGGTATGGGCAAAATAAGGACAGTTTATTAGGCACAAAGTCAAACAAAGGCAGACTTCTGCACGCTGGGCTTTTGCTGGTGCGCAGCACTAAAACGGCTTTGGCTCAGGGTGAACGCAATAGTAGCCCGCAGAGATTGCTTGTCAGAGGACAGTAGAGGAGAGCTGGTGAGCGCTACAACCCCCTGGCTGGGGATGTGATCATTGGGCAAAGTAGTGTACAGGTAAGCCCTAAGAACATATAACACTTCACGCAAGAGGTGCCACAGAAATGATTGCAAATAAAAAAGTTATCTACAGCTGAGAAGGAAGAAAAGCTCCAAAATGAAAGATAATAAATGAAATCAGACCTGGCCCATGACATATTTCATAAGTGTAAGTAAATGGTTGCCTCCTTGTTTTCTCTAGCTTGCAAATTATGTGTTTGTTTGTGTTTTGTTAGTTGTAATGGCTTGTACTGTACCTGCTTAACACTTAATATTCTCAGATCGTGTCTAATGCCACGTCGAAAACGCAACGTGTGCTGCTTTGTTTACGGATTTAAATGCGTTTGTGAGCTTGTGTTCCACTGCCATTTGTCATTGCTATGTCCACCGTCAGCTGTTCCTACAGACGTACAGTGGTCAAGGTTCAGAATATTTTAGCTTTTGCCGCTGTGTAGATTAATACTGAATGTGTTTCATGGTCAAGAATGGAGCAATATGCTAGTGTTTAACTGCACTGCTTTAATGCACTCATGCACACACAAAAAATCCGGGAGACTGGGCGGGTTGGTGTCTAAATAACACTGTTGAGAACTGGGTACCGTTTACTGTGGTGTTAGTAAGTTTACTATGAAATGTGTTTTGGGCATCCGCTGCGATCGGATCCTATACCAATGTTGGCGACCCAGGGCTTGATAAGCCGCTCTGGGCGTTTTACTCGGTCTCGCGCTGAACGCTGTTGACCAGATGCAACAGACTGTCAGCGGTCCAGTCAGGGCAGATTAGCTTTGCGCTAAGGAGGGGTTTGGGAAAAATTAATCACTAACCGATTCATATAGGAGTCGCTGGCATAATTGGGTAAAATAAATGCATATTATAAGACCATGAAAGTGTTTTTTGAACCTTGCATGCATATCAGTATGTTGTTGGAGACCCATAAAACCAAAATATGACCCTTTTTAATGTATAATAGGGGCTCTTTTAAGATCAAGATTAATTGTATCAGTCGGGTAAGTGAAGTAAATATGCATGTTTTGAAATGAACGTACTGTATGTTAACATGTGTCCCTTAAATTCAAGAGACTAAACATCTGTTCTTTTTATAATAGATTTGTACATAGGTTTATCATACTCATTTTCCCGCTTGTTTTTCTTCCACCCATTTCTCTATGCATAGGAAGTTGCGATGGCACAGTTTTCAGAACTCTCATCGCCCGAGTGTATCTTCTGCATCTTTAGAAATCAACAGGCAGTCGGCTGCACAGCTCAACCTGCTGCAGAAATTCAGCCTCTTACGACTGACTGCCATCCTGGAGAAACACACGGACACCAGCAAGCATGGCTGGAACTGGTAAGATGACACTTTGGCACAATCCCAGTTTTATTTTTGTACCCTTACTCCTTCCCCTTGGCCCTTGAGTGTGAAGGGAAAAAGCATTAAAATTTACCCCCCAAGAAATGGGACAACACTACAGCACCTGCACACGTCATCATATGTCATCACAATCGATGAGATCGATGATGGTGAATGCTGTAGTTATTCCAGAGGTGTTATTTCTTTGTATTTATCTTCAAGAAATCACTGATAGCAACGATATCATGTTACCATAACGATCTAACTGTGTATTTACATCGTGGCCATGTTCATCTATGTAAACACAAGAAAACAACATTAGCATTATAGCAGACACTGTAAAAAACTTATTCCCAGCCACTAGACTTTTCTGACTGGGGATTCGAGTATCATTGAGTGTCAAAATGTTGTGGGACTGCTATACAGCAGTAATTATTTTGGGTTATAGATAGCTAAATCTAGCGTTTTTATTTTAGTGTTTTTTTTTTTTTTAAACATGATGGTAAAACGAACGTCATCTTGAATGTATTAAAACATATGCTTGTTTGTTGTAAAAATTCGTTATAATGACTAAAAAAAAAAAAAATTTTGCATCGCCTGACTTTTGTGTGCAGCCATGCTGTCGTTGTAGATGGTGTATTTTAGCCTTTCCCCTTAGCCCTATGCCTTCAAGCTAAAGAGAATTGGGACACCACAACGGGGGAGGGTTAAGGGGTAGAATTGGGATTGGGCTTTTCTCTTCATACATAGTCACGTATTCCCATACATTTTCTAAAAATCCCCCCAGTATTTTAGCTCAAAGAAAGTTCTCATTTTAAAAGATATGTGCAGGTTATGTATATGCATTAATGTGGTGGACATGTTTCCTGGCTCATGAGGTCAGTTGTGGCATTAATGCTCTTTTATGTCAGATGCAGGAAATCTCATTTCTGCCAAAAGTGTTTTTTAATGGCACATTCAGTTGAGTAAAACAGCTCTAACAGATGCAGCTAATGACAGAATCTTTCTGTCTCTCTATCTGTTCCCTGCTGGCTTTTTATTGCTTATGAAAATTACATTCCATATCTTTCTCCGCCAACAGGGCTAAAATTACAGTTCTATTTATGTACACACACACACAAACACACACACACACACACACTCACACACTTTTATTCTCCAGTTATGTTTTATTTGGCATTGCAGGAACGGAGTGTAAATTGGTTTATAATTTTTGCATTTGTCCATTTTAAACTCCAGCTGCAGGAAAAGGACTTCTGATGAGAAGCTTATGGGTCCATCAGATGGTGTCATGGCTCACAGATCAAAAAGATGATTCATTTCATTCTGCACCAGTCACCAAAAAGGCATTATCTTTCCTCTTTCGTCCATTCCCACACACCCCACAGTCAAAGACCGGCATCAGCGTCAGTGTCATAGGAAGCAAATAGATCCCATTTTCACAGGGTTTATACATGTTACTGCAATTCCATTTGCTCTTGCTCTCTATGCTTCTGCAATGATGTTTAATTTATCTGGCAAAGGTGTGACCTTGCAGGTTTTTTTTTCCTGGACATCCACATATTGGATTCTTGAACTGCTGCACTTTTTAAACCTCCTCTTGCCATACAAACATAAAAAAAAATTATATTAAAAAATTTATCTGTAATTAGTAAGTAAACGAATTATTGAAATAAAGACAGACTTTACATGCACTACCGATCAAAAGTTTGGGGTCAGTAGGATTTTTAATTGATTTAAAATAAACTTTTCCCCAAGGCTGCATTTTTAAAATCTAAAATACAGTACAAATTGTAAAATTCTGAAATGTTATTGCACTATAAAATAACTGTTCAAAAGTAGTTTATCATTTAATTTAATTAATTATTCATCTAATTTTAAAGATTAAGGTATTAATGTAATAGCAATAAAGCAATAATGACTGGCATAATAATTGAATTCGAAACTAGATGCAATAAGAAAGCAGCCTTGAGGAACAATATAATTTTCTTTTAAAAAACATTTAAAAAACAGCATAAAAAAAAACTGACCCCAGACTTGACTGGTAGTCTAAGACTCAATCCCAATTTTGTAGGGGTAAGGGGAATGGCTAAGGGGTAGAATTGGGGGTAAGTATAAAAGTTATCGAATTTATGTATGTTGGATAAATTTACATTTATCCCTGTTCAAAAATTCTTTCTCTCACAATGCAACATCACTTTGTTCAAGGATCCAGTTACTAAGTTACACTAATTGGTCAGTGACCTAACCTTTTGTGATTGGTCACCATAGAAGACCTAGTATATATATTGATACGAACAGTAACAATGACAATGGCTGTACTGCGTCAATGCAAGCATATTGCGTCATCTTCTTTTGGCTGTCACCAACATAGGTCTGTACAGAAGGTAAACGCTCTGGTATACTTCAAATGTTGAAGTATAAAGTTCGAGTGCAAAGTGCAGAAATTAAATAAAGTACATGAAGTACAAAGTTCTTTTTTTATTCTTCATTTGAGGTCAAAAAGAATTTGTACTGTTTTCAAACACTCCATCACAATCATGCCTGCTGCAGTGCAGGGGTAAATGTGTCATGGTAAACAACAATGATGGTGGCTGAGAGAGAACAGTGTTTTAGCCAGTTTTTAAAGTGTCCTTTTATTTAGTTGAAATATTGCTGGTTTTGTTTTGTTATTTCATTCGATAACTGTGAACATTATAATGGTGTATAGTATGGGATGACAGTACACCAAAAGACAGAAAAGTGAGATGAACGTTTTGACCATTGTAGTCATTTTTGTTGGAAGATTCTTGTTTTTGAAATAATTTTTTGAATTTTGATATCTTGCCTAATTTTGATGCAGTTTTGTTTGGTCAATATTTGAAAAAAATAAACAAGATGATTGAATGAATGCGAGTTAAATGAAGTGCATTCAAAACAAAGCCCATCATATTTCTGTGGCCAGATTAGAAAACCAGAACAGACATATACTAACAGCTGTCTCCACAAAAACACTACCGCATTTTTGCATTGTTCTATTTGCTACAGACACGCACCAAATTGTGCTGCTGGTGTAGGGAAAAGATGCGACGCAACAAGAACATAGATTTTGTTCAAAAATACGTCATTTCAGTCCGTTTTTTAAATTAGTTTGAAGCGTACTGGGGCATTAAGACTAGAAATATTGACAGCTTATTTCAGGCAGTTCAGAATTTTTATATATATTTTTGGCTTCATCTGAAAGACAGTAACTCCATTTATTGTGCACTTTTTTAAACATTATAGAGGTTTTAGATTCACAGACTTACTATATGGAAGGTAGTATTTAAAAGACATACCGGGGGTATTCTAATTCATATTATTTTGTCTTTATCAATGAATAGGGTGGTTCCAAAGTTTATGAAGCGTTCCAAAGTTCCAGATTACAAAGATAAGCATGTGTTTGGTGTTCCACCAATTGTGAATGTCCAACGAACTGGTCAGCCTCTGCCTCAAAGCATCCAGCAGGCGATGAGATACCTGCGCAGCCAGTGTCTGGAGAAGGTTTGTCTGCAAGCGAACACACAGCTGCACAAACGCTCAATTATTATTTTCCTTCAGTCTCTTATCTGTCATTTATTTTTACAGGTGGGAATATTCCGGAAATCGGGGGTTAAATCCCGGATCCAGGCCCTCAGGCAGCTCAATGAGAATTCCCCTGATCATGTGACCTACCAGGGCCAATCAGCTTATGATGTGGCTGACCTGATTAAACAGTACTTCAGGGATCTGCCTGAACCTGTGCTCACCTCAAAACTTACAGACACCTTTCTACATGTATACCAGTGTAAGTGACACAAACAGATTTTCACTTTTTTTGTGAGACAAGTCGTTGCTTCTGTAAGCTCTACATCACTCTTCTCTCTGTGTGTGTGTGTAGTTGTTCCAGCAGAGCAGCGTTTACAGGCCGTACAAGCAGCCGTGATCCTGCTGCCTGATGAGAACAGAGAGGTTCTGCAGACATTGCTCTATTTCCTCAGTGACATTGCATCTGCACAGGAAAACCAGATGACTGCAGATAGTCTGGCTGTCTGTCTCGCACCTTCCATACTGCACCTGAATGCTTCCAAGAAAGATGGTGCTTCACCAAGGTGTGTATTTGTGTGTGTGTGTGTGTGTGTGTGTGGATAAGAACAGCCAAGTTCCACATGAAAATAGTGATTTTAATTTTTAAGAGTCGGTGGAAAGAAACCAGCATAACAGAAAGGAATATAAATACTGCTAGGTTTTTGTAAAACTGCTAATGCTAACAGTAATCTTATGGTTTTTACGTGTGCTCTAAAACTAAGCATACAGTGTGCTGTGAATGTTGAATTCTGAGCAGTATGCTTACAGACTTGCATAATTGCATATGCACATCATTATTAATATTCATGATTTTTCAAACTTGTTTATTGACAAAGTGCCAAGATTGGCACAGACCTTTGTTTCTCTGATGTATCTCAGGCCAGTAACAAAAACCGTTGATGGCAACATCAAAAACAGGAAAACAGGAACTCTAGTTTTATTTTAGTATACAGATATTTCAATCACTCATAGCTTCCGCACAGAAATAGCACAGGTGTTGAACATGTATCCAGCAGCACTTTATCAATTCGAGAATGCTGTTCATTTGACTTTGTGTAAAGTATACATATGTACGTTTTTAACCTATTTCAATGTTATATCAATGGTAGAATAATCTTAATAAATATATGAATTCTGCTGCTGCAGCTACCAGATATGCCTCCTGTCACCCAAAAATTATGCTTGCAACTTTGGGTGAGTGACCTGGTACACACAGCTTCACACATCTCCTGCCAGCAGAACCATGGATAGAAATAGAAATGCTTGTGAGTGGTATAGTGTGATCTGTTTTAAGGCACATGACACATTGTTTTTGTAGGTGAAGTTAGCTAAAAGCTAACTGTGAGATAAAACTAATATAGAACCATCACCAACATGAACGCAATAGTGGAAGCACCAAAGAAACCTATGATTAGGGTTTTGTTGGTGAAAGCGAAGGAAAAAGTTAGATACTGATTGGCCATGAGCCTGAAAATGGGGGCTTGCAGTTGATGGTGTGATCTGAAAGAGGCAACTGGCTGCATGTGGTAATATTTGTGGAAAATAGTGTATTGTAACACCAACTATTTACCTGGTCGATGGACATGGTTTATTATTATTATTATTATTATTTTAAGTGTCACATTTCTGTTTAAATAAACAAGAAAAGGTAAGAGCTCAAGATAGAAGTAGATTTCGATGCTCATTCTCCCCTTAAACAGGCCAGCGGACAAAAGCTTCAGTGAAGCTCTCTAATGGACAGCTCTCATGGCTGACTGGAAATCAGTTCCTCTCAATGTTTTTATGCATATGGTTTCTGAACAAGGTGTCAGTTTATGGCAGTTTCGTCAGATTAGACAACTAATTCACATGAGTGCCCAAAGAGAAGCACAACAAAAGATTGATGACACTGGTAAGAAGTAATGGAGTTCATCAACCACAAGAGGGAGTTGCAAGAGAAACATGCATAGTGTTGCTTTAAAGCAGGGGTGTCCAAACTAGGTCCTGAAGGACCAATGTGCTGCATAGGGTAGCTCCATCTTCCTTCAACACACCTCCATGGAAGTTTCTAGTATAGAAAGAGCTTAATTAGCTGGTTCAAATGTGTTTATTTGGGGTTGGAACTAAAATATGCAGGTCAACAGACCTCCCGGACCGAGTTTAGACAATCTTGCTTTAAAGGGATGGTTCATCCAAAAGCTTCATCTTTTATTTACTCACACTATAGGTTTTAAACTTTTATAAATTTTCTTCTTTTGTTGAACACAATACAAGATATTCTGAAGAATGTTGGAGAAAAGCAGACATTCTTAATAGAAACAAAAAATCCTGTGGAGTTCAATGGCTGTTTATTCCAACTTTCTTCAGTATATCTTCATTTGTGTCTTTCAACAGAAGAAAGAAACCCAGTTAGATCTAAATCAAGTGGAGGATGATTAATTGATGACAGAATTTTTATTTTTGGGCGAACTATCCCTTGAATAGCTCTGTTAGCATTCAACATGTCCTGATTTTCTGTTGCTTTTCGGTAGTTGAAATTTCTTTTCGGTTTGGTTAGGCTCATAAGCAGGAAAGGTGGAGCCAAGCCAGACCACAAGGACCTGAGTGAGAACATGGCTGCCACACATTGCCTCAGTCACATGATTACAGAATGCAAGAAGCTATTTCAGGTAATCACATTTAAATGCTGATATTTGTATAAATCAGCCGTTAAAGGCATAGATAATGTAAATTTTTTGTGAGTGAGGCCCCATGCATTATCTCATGTATATTAATCACTGTAGTTTTTTAGTTTTTTGAATAAAACGGAGCAGCTCATGTTTTGCACCATTCAGCTTTCTGTCACTCTTTCTCTCTGCAGATCCCGCATGAAATGATGCTCCAGTCTAGGAATTCTTATGTGGCTGCAGATGCTCAGCCGCTGCCTCTGCATGGGCTCGGGGTCAATGCCCTGGGCGAGCCAGTGGATTATCGGGCATACTTGGAAGACAACGTTCAGTGTCTTCTCAGAGAGGCATCTGAGCGAAGTAAAGGGTGGCATCATGCCCATGGACCCGACAACACTGAGCTGGCTTATAAAAAGGTAAAGATGCACAAATCCACTTTAAAGCACTTATTTTTCTTAGTCACTTTAGATGGATTTGAATTATTTAGAGTGAATTTGATTTGAAGTTTTACATTAGATTTAAAGGCTCAAAATGAACACTTTTGTTAAATGCATGTGAAAACTGTTTAGTCATAGTGTTCAGAAGTGTTCTTGGTGTCTTGGTGCACCTTTATCCACAGTAAATGCTGTTTTACACAAACTTCTTCTCTGCTAGGAGATGGAAGCACATTCATTTCAACATGCATTTGAAAATCAGTGTGTGCCAGACATATTTTCAAGTTTGGAGTGAAAATGATTTCTAGGTCTGGTGTCAACAAGAGAGAAGTGTTTCAAAAAAGTTTGCTATGGTTTTCAACCAAAATAAATGTGAATATAAAATTTGAATGCAAAGGGAAAAGCAACCACAATAATTATGTAATTTTACCAAAAAGGATCAAGTTTATAGTACACTGTTAAAGTCAGAATTATAAGCCCAACCCCAATAAATAAATAAACACACACACACACACACACACACACACACACACACACACACACACACACACACACACACATATATACATATATATATATATATATATATATATATATATATATATTAGGGATGTAACGGTATTGTAAATACCGTCATACCGCAATATTAATTTTTTTCGATATTACCGAAGTCGCATGACTCGGTAAAACTATAGGTCTTCTGAGAAAATTTGCTCAGGCGAATGAAGCGAACGGGAGGTAGCGAAAACTACAATCCCCATCATCCCTTGCGGTCTGTTGTCGCTACAGATCCAGTAATGCGGAAATGGAGTGTGCTGCAAGAAGCGGGGATCAAAAAGAGCTGTAAAACTCTAAGGCCCCTTTTACAAGAGTGCGTTTTAGTTTTAAAACGGCGTTGTAGAATGAAAACGATCCGCGTCCACACTCGCGTTTTACCCAGCGTTTCTGAACAGCTCTCCGTCCACACCAAAACGCTGAAAACGCACATCACGTGACCACAGACACTCTCGGGCAAGCGCTCCAGCATGAGATGAGAGCTCTGCTTGTCGGACTGCTCATCACGCATCTCCCGCTGGATCTAATCTCACTATATTTGCTAAACGTGATATTTCATTCATGTTGTTGTCTTTATCTAACGACATAGGCCAATTCCCTGACTTTGGTCATTGGAATCTATTAAGTTACTTGTTCACGGGTAACATGTTTTGGTTAAGCGCAAAGATAAGTTAATGATTAATCCAGGTACATTGACTGATCGCTTGCCTTTATTTCCTACAATGTATTAACTTATTATATGTTATACTTTTATAATTGTCGATTATTAAAACTGATATTCAGCAAAAGAGAGGGTGCGTTTCGTATTTTCACTGAAATTGAAAGGAGGCAGTTGTTATAGGCTCCGTTTTGTTATAAATATCCACACAGTGAAGACGCTCATATTTGCAGCACGGCGCCTCAACATTTCTGCTGTCTGTTAAGTTGCTAATATTAAAAAGAAAATAGGCAGTTCCTTAAATCATGTTTACATTTTATTGTTGAGAAAGTGAAACAACGTAGCCAAGGTGATGTGAATGAAGTTATAAAGTACACTGTTCCCTTTGAAGATTTAGCCGTGTCCTCGGTATGTTTTCCATATCAAACTGAGAAGGGGGATACTGCAGCCTTGATCAAACTTGGGAAGTCTTAACTTACAAGAAGAGGATGCGAGACTGAACTGTGTGTCGGCTACTTAATATTGAGGAAAAGCCCCAATCAGATAGGCGAACGTTTGCAGCCCTGCCTCCGTTTTCAGATGTGTCCGTCTTTCCCCATCCACACTGAGACGGAGCAGCAGCGTTTCAGAATGAAAACGACCTCTCCAGCGTTTTCGAAACGCTCCGTTTTCGGCGCTCAAGAAATAAGTCATATAAGTCATATCTCTCTTGTCCCAGAAACCTCAGTCCCAAATGAGAGGGTTTTTTTCTGTTGCAGGGGACATTGTAAATGCCCAGAGATACCAGCTTTTACCAGATTATATTTATATGATAATTTTCCTTTAAACCCATCTCTATCTAAGTGAGTGAGTGATTAAATGTTGAATGTGGTGAGTTTTCAACAATACTAAATTAAAAACTTAAATTTTTTTTTATATGGTTTAATATTTTTTTGTTATTAAAATTGAAGTTCCTGTTTCAAAGCTTACAGATAGATGGCTAATTTGTATGTCATTGACACTTTTGGCACTTTTTTGGAGTATTTTCATAAGTTTTGTTTTTTCCTGTAAATGATTCAATAAATACCGTACCGTGACATTGATACCGAGGTATTACCGTACCGTGAAATTCTGATACCGTTACATCCCTAATATATATATATATATATATATATATATATATATATATATATATATATATATATATATATGTAACAATGGCTTGTTCTGTAGACTATCGAAAAAAAATTAGCTGAAAGGGGCTAATAAAAATATTTTTTAAGAATTAAAAACTGCCTTTTTTCTTGCAGAAATAAAACAAATAAGACTTTCTCAAGAAGAATAATATAATGTGAACATTTTCTTGCTGTTCAACATAATTTGGGAGAAATTTTAAAAAGAAAAAAAAATTAAAAGGGGGGCTAATAATTCTGATTTCAACTGTATATATGAAGAGTTCAGATGCAAAAACCTCTAAGTGCTGTCTGGAATTTCTATAGAAAATAAATAATTTTTTCAACCTTTTTTGTTTACGTTGACTTATTCTTTGCCATAAAAGTGATATTACCGAACATACACTGGAGCCTGATAAAAATGCTAGTTTTAGAAGAAAATTTCAGATGGCATTTACAGGTTTTAGAAAAGCACATTTTTTTATTTTCAACACTGAAATCCTTTACAGGGTTTTATCTTTAAAAGAAATCATACTCCGATTCTTTCACATTCTGATGTTTCTATTTCATTGAATCCATAGTGGACACCGTTCAATTACACCTCCATAAAGTGATGAAAATAATTACAAATATTTAAAGATGCTTGCTTAAGTTGGTTTCCTGTATAAAACCCCCTCTGCCAAGGTTGGAAATTCAGTGTTGTGGCAGCACTTGGGCCGTGAAGAAAGAGAAGCAATCTAAGCAAGTTTTTGAAAGAGGAATAGAAAAACACGAGGCAAGGATAGATCCGAGTGCATTTCCAAGTCACTGAATATCCATCACAGTGTGGTTAAATCAATTTAGAAATCATTAAGAAAAGGAAAGGCACATGGCACAGCTGTAAATCCACCTGTGACAGGCTGCCCTCAGCACAGCAACTGTGTGAAGGTTACAAGCTCCAGTGGCTGACGCTAGAGAGACTGTGCATCCAACTGTTTACAGGGCACTCCATCAGTCAGAGCTTTAGACTGGCACTGGAAGAGAGGAAGGTCACTGCTAAAATGCCATTTGACACTTGAGCTAAAGTTTGCTGAGAGAAATAGGAGAAACAAGCCTGAAGAACATTCTGCTATATATATATATCCTTTAGATAACACAATCTCACGGCAATTAGGAACTTTTTTGATTTAGTGGCTAATTCGTATGAATTCATATGATCTCATTCGCTTGCAATTTGGTACAATTTGCTCATCCTCCAATGACGGTTGGGTTTAGGGATGGGGTTGGCATGCCTCCTTTTTAAAAATCATACATTTTTGTTCGACTGAGCTCATATGAATGAGGGGTAAATGCACAACTAGTGTTTTTCAGCCAATGATATACTTCCGGTGAAAGATTAATGTGACTATTTTCAATTTTTTAAGGTTTATTTTACAGCATCGATGTTGTAATGTAATTCCAATAAATTCCGTTAAATAGACTTAAGCATTCACTTAGTTGTTGAAGTGTAAAACAAGGTGAAAGACCGTGTAACCGCTAGCACTACATTGAAAATACTGAGGTAAAATAAACTTTTTAAACACATGGTGGGGAAAATGGAATTTAATACAGTGCTTTTTGTCCTGTCTGAGACCCACTTTATATCGTATATATCTAACAGGCAGTGAAGATCACTGATTTTTAGAGAAAGACCTTAAATGTGGCAATTTTATAATGGAAAGACGGTTGACCAGAAGCCCTGAGGCTGGCTGGTTGAAATAAAAAAAAAATCTGTTGAAATCTGTGTGCATATAACCTATTAGCCACTTAACTGACAAAACATGAAACATATGCTTAGACAGCTTTTTGTGATATCAGGTTGACTTTAGAACACACCTGCAAGATTTTTTTTTTCATTTGTTTCACATATATACACTACTGGTAAAAATTTACCAGTAGTAAAAAGAAAATTTTAAAGAAACCTCTTTTGCTCACCAAGCCTGTATTTATTTGATCCAAACACAAAACCAGTACACATTTGACATATTTCTTACCATTTTAAATGACTGGTTTTATATTTGAGTATCCTTTAAAAATGTCATTAATTTCTGGGAGCTGAGTTTTTAGCATCTTCACTCCAGTTACATGGTCTTTCAGAAGTCATTCTAATATGCTGATTGTTGTAAAACTTTTGATGATAGTGTGTATGACTAGTGTTTAGTTCCTTTATGCACAACAGCTTTTTGTTGGTTCCCACAAAATATCATACAATCCGTATCTCTTTACGTCACTGATGTTCTAATATTTTCATTTGACAGACATCCAGAACCACAAAACCAGCAATGGTTCAGAAATCACATAATGATTTTTGTTGTTGTTGTTGTTGCTTTTATGAAGTGTAGTCATTCTGATTTTATTTCAGATATCCAAATTATAAATAAAAACCTACATTGTGCATAGTAAGAGGGTGTTTTTTAAGTACTATTATTGTGGTCTGCTCTAAATGTGCCTTATATTGTACAGTTTAAGATCAGTTTCTGGCAGCAATTGAAAGTGCCAAAACATTAGAGAATATTATTACATTGCAAGATGGTTTTGAACCCATTTTAATTGCTGCTGTTTTCATCTGCTTTCTCAAGCCAAATCATTTTAATATTTCCTGTGTTTATGAGCTCTTAGGAATCATTCCCAGTGCCAGAGCCTTCTAAATGATGACAATGATGTCAGAAAAACAAGAATAGACATTTACTTGTGTAAATTGCTGTATTATAAAATGTTTGGCTTTCTGGGAAATGTGTGTAGATGCTTGATTAACAAGTACAATACTGGCCAAAAGTGTCCATAGGGGAACATTAGCCCAGTATTTGTTTTAATGTCCCTACAAGTTTAATTAAACCTTCCAAATATGAGAAACATTGTACAGTGAAGCGGAAAAGACCAAACTTGTTTAAAGCATTTAACTTATTAGGCCAAAAATAAAAAAACACGTCAGCTTATTGTGGAACATGGGTTTTGTTTTACCATGAAAATCACTCATATAAACCTAAAGTTTACTCTTTAGAGTTTAGTCCTTGTGTTCCGGTACTAGCTATTTGCCTGTGAACAACTGAACCATAGAGGACATACAGACTTTTTACACTCAAACAGTTTGTTTGAATAAAAGACAGAAATATGCAATTTCCCAGGCTGGACATCACTTCAGCCCACTGCTGTATACACACACATTTTCATTTCTCATGTATTTTGTCAAGTATATGGATTTTAAAATCAGTCCATAAGTGCGCTCAAAATGAATGGAGTTTTGAGTCTAATTGCATATGGCCTTTTTTGGCCACTTATCATCAGTCAGGCTGAAGTCTACATGTTCATCATAGACAGACGTACACTTCTGGTCTTTTGTCACACACTCAAAGTGAGAATGAGATTTGAATGCATGTGACAGTCCACTCTCTCTCCCCTTAGACTAAATATTAGATGCATTATAAAGTGTTGGCACAAGCAAGCTTAGACCCATCTGCCTTCAACCCACCTGCTGAAACGATCGTCTGAGGAACATTTTAATGGAGCTAATTATGGTTGTACACTGTGGGACATGCATAGATATACTCTTCATCTGGTCAACTTATTTTGCAGTGTTTTCACTTGCCAAAGAACCACTTGAAGAACTTTCAAAAGCCGTCATTAGTTTTCTTCTGTGTTGTACATGGTCTTTAATGATTGGTTGTTTTACAGGTTGGAGATGGTCACCCGATGCGTATATGGCGTGTTTCGGTGGAGATCGAGGCCCCTCCCTCTGTGGTTCTGCAGCGTGTTCTGCGAGAGCGCCACCTGTGGGATGAAGACCTTCTGCACAGTCGAGTCATTGAGACACTGGAAAACAACACTGAGGTTTTCCACTACATCACTGACAGCATGGCTCCACATCCTCGCAGAAACTTCATAACGCTCAGGTACGCAGCTGCAAGAGTCAGTTTTGTTTTGGTGCGATTTCCATAAAGGTATATATCGTCCAAAACAACTTAAAATTGTCATTATTACACAAAAGAAAATATTTTAAAGATTATTGGAGAACGGTAGCCCTTGTAGGACTTCCTTTACTACTATGGATTAGGCATGGGGCGATTAACTATTTTCAAGGTATACTGCGGTTTGAAAAAGTCAAGGTTGTAAGACTGCCAAAATTTTCTGTAATACAGTTCCTAAAGTATGTGTAAACATTTTTGTTTACTTTTTTTTTTTAGCACAAAAGTTACTTTAGCAAAAAAATCATATGATGCTGTTTTAAATGCTAAATAAATCCTTGTTTTTGAAACGGTTGAAGACAGCAGAAGTCAATGGTTCATTAGAATTATTTAGCCTGATATGTTTACTTCTCCAAAATTTTATAAATCTTTAAAATAGTAAAATATATTGTTTTCAAAAGTAATGAAAGTTTTTGTTTTTTACCCAGACATTTAAAAAGAACATATTTAAGAGCAGTAATCATAATCATGCCATCAGAATCTTATACAGGCTCATGCCTCCTATGGATATCAATGGCTACTGGTTTCCACATTCTTCAAAATATCTTTTTTTGTGTTCAAGATTTTAAACAACATGGATTTTGGTTTTAGTGTGAACTATTAAGCTACTTTCAAAACTGAAAAATTAACAATAAACTGTGATAAATGTAACCTGCTTGGTAATAAATGTGTAATTTTAGCACCATTATGAAATCAAATAAAATTTTGCCTCAATAACTGAACATTGTAACTCACCAAGTCACTGTCAAAGATCTAAACAAGCAAAAACTGATTGTGTTGTCTGCTTGAGTTTGTTTTGTTTGGTTCAACTAACACATGCTTTTTGTGCCTGCATGCAAGACAATGATAGTTAATATTAGGAGCTGTGCATCGAGCTGTCGAGCTACATGTTGATTTGATTTGCTCTTGAGTGTTTGGACTTACAGCAGTGAAATTTATACCACACTGAACTGAAATAGACTGAACCTAAAATCAGAAAACTGGAGCGATCTACTGAGCTATATAAATAAATATAAATTAAATTAGCAAGGTTTGATAATCTATAGTATGTTCCTTATTAAAAATTTATAACCAAAGAAAAAGCCTGTTATTCTCTAATATCATCTGAAAGGCCATTACAATGAGCCGTTCACTTGTTCCTCATTAGGGGAAATTCATTTGGAGTTTGTACAGAGATGCAAATGAACCAGGGATGGGCAAACTTGATCATGGAGGGCTGGTGTCCTGCAGAGTTTTACTCTAACACTAATCAAACACATCCGAAACATGCTAATCAGTCTTTTCAAGATCACTGGAAAGCTACAAGCAGGTGTGTTTGATTAAATTTGGAGCTAAACTCTGCAGGACACGACCCTCCAGGGCAGAGTTTCCCCATCAATGGCTTTTTCAAAGCAAAAGTTTTTCTATTGGTCCTTTTTAGTCACCAGAGTCTACCAGCATGCGTATACCATCCACAACTGAATGTACAACAGTGTGCTTTATTCACTGTAAATATGATCTATATTTGTAAAACTTTGGCTCTGGAGACAATATATATGCAAATGGACGTCCTCTTGGAACATCACATGCCACTTGATATCCAAATGAACCATTCTGCAGTTGGTTAAATGCTTTGTTTACACTGTTTATCTAATCAAGAATATATGGTAACATTATTGACATTGATTACAATATACATTTAATTTAAACTCTTGTAATAACTCCTAGAAACACTCTAGGATTTTTCCAATAAGTGTTTTAGAGAGATCCCTTTAAAGGGTTAACCTGTGAAACTTACAGGATATTCTTATGGTAGAAACACCTCCACTGTCAAAAGATCCGTTGAATTTGATTAGTCTTGCCATTCAAATTAAATCAAATGATTTTATTCTAACAGCTTAGTAATAATTCATGTAATGTGGTCATTTGTGTTGCAGACGTTGGTGTAGTGATCTTCCCAAAGGCGTGTGTGTTCTTGTGTCTTCCTCTGTGGACCATGATAACGTCCAGCTTGAAGCAGGCTTACGGGCAGTGCTTTTGACATCCCGTATGTTCATTGAGCCATGTGGAATGGGACGGTCTCGGCTCACACACTACTGCAGAGCCGATCTACGGTGAGACAGACAGGTTTTAGGGATGGAGTGCTTATATACTTCGGATATTATCCACAATACACTGAACAAAAACATCAGGGTTAAGCACAATCGTACAGCGCTGTGAAGTGGCAGGATAAAAAGCAGATGGTTAGACATTGATAAAGCGAGTGATTGCTCTGTATATTTCTGTACAGACTGGTCACGTTTTGATCTTCTATTAGTATCACATGATGCGATTTTTGCAGGTTAGAGTTCACCAAGCTCGAACTTTGGAATAAAGCAACATGCAAAACTTGCCACATGGGATTACATTTCCAATTTGCCGCATTCGCATGTGTATGAATGGAAGTTGAATTGGGCAAAAAGTTCAGTGTGACCTTGGCTTTAAGTCTTGTGCACAACGTGAAATTTATTGCTCTTATTGGCAGCTTTTTTCCCCCAACCATTTTTGACATTTAAAAGCATTTTGCCATGTGAATGTGCTCAATCTCTAGGGCTGAGCCGATAAATTGGTGGATTGTTATTCAAGGATTGATTCATAGATTTTTGGAATATTGTGTTTCTGAGATAAGTTTTTTAAAAGCAGGTGGCACTATAGGCTAATTTTTAATAGTACATTCTTAGTAAACATGAAGAAGGACATTTGTACTTTCGGTCATGTACAATAAGTGGTCAAATGGCAGAGCTTTTATTTTGTATGTTAATGTAAATAAAGCTTACTATGTACAGCCTAATTGGATTCTATTTGATCTGCAACTTCTGTTTACTCGGCTAGACCATCTTGTGCTTTTGTGTTTTACTGTAAATTCCGCAGCTCAAGGCATGTGAAATAATGAGCTTGAGATTTTTTTTTATTATTATTGTTTTTTAAACAGACACATTTATGCTTGCCTTTTTGTGTCACCGTGTGCACGCTCACATTACATACCCGTAACCAGGGCGGGTTCAGGTGGTTTGAACGACACCCCTCCCCACGATCAAAAGCTTCAGAATTTATATTTTTATTTATTTTATGTAACAATAAAAAATAAAAATAAAAAACGGGTGCTCCGGTTTCCCCCACAGTCCAAAGACATGTTTTATAGGTGAATTTGGTTTGCTAAAATTGAACGTAGTGTATAAATGTGTGTGTGAATGAGTGTGGATGGATTTTTTCCCAGTGATGGGTTGTGGCTGGAAGGACATCCGCTGCGTAAAACATATGCTGGATAAGTTGGCGGTTCATTCCGCTGTGGCGACCTCAGATTACTAACTGGAAAATAAAATAAAAGAATGAATGAAATATCTTTGGCCAGTAATTCGAATCCCATGGACCCTCAAAGCCACAATAATGTGACGCAAGTCACGTGACATAACCCACCGAGCGGTAATGTTTGAATCTTTGATGCGACATCCTCATCCATACTGAGTAATGCTATGGGTCAAAACGAGAATAAGAGACAGAACAGAAAGCAGGCAACAACGTCATTGTCACAAAATATTAAACACATGTGTAGATTTGATTTGTACCATGACCTCTCATTTTTCTCAGTCCTCATTGACCTCACCGTTCACTTCAAAGCAAAAGGCGCTAATAAGTTTACTATCCGCTTGTTAAGTGTGACGTCATACGAATCGGCTTCCGGGTTCAATCGCTCTATTCAACTGTATGAGGACATTCATGAAATGGTAATTATAAACGTTTACAAAGCGATTTAATACTTTCGAAAATCACGATCGCTATATATATGTCCATGCCTAATATCCGATGGCCCGAAAGTGATTCATTTTTTTATAAATTGTTAAAATTGAGGTATTTGTGATGCAGCAAGCCCAGAGATTGTTGTGTACACTATGACTTTATATAAAATTAACTTTAATGTGTGACATGAATTGAAAGTGATCATAAACATATAATTTCTCAACTCAACATACATACATACTTACATACGTCACAAACACGTCATCACTTAACAAGCGGATAAGCATAAAAGTGTTAACGAACAAAAAGTTTAAGTAAGATCTTTGCAAGCTATATGATATGAAAATGTTTGAATAATAATATCTGTTTGAATATAAATCACCTATTAATTATTCAAGCATGTGGTGCTGTGACGAATAACTACTAATACAATCTCAATATATTTAAATAGTTTAAATAATTGTTATCAATATTGTGCATATTGATTATCACAAAATATTCCATTATTGAATTTCACCATATGTCTACCTCTAGGGCAAGTCCCCATAAAAATGAAAAAAAAACAACAACAAATAAATAAATTAATTAAAATAACATGTAGTGTGTGTTCAGACTGACAAAATTTGCACATGATCTTAGTAAGCAACTTTACAAAACAGTCATTATTTTTGTTACTGTAAAAAGCATGCATATGATTCCAGAAGACTAGCTAGTCCAGCACAAATTTCATAAAATGTCATTAAAATGCTGTATTTAAACTTCATAGTCAAATACAAAATGTTGGGAAAAAATGCAAAAACAATGTCCACTGTTAGAGAAAAATAGCCCCCACTTTTGCTAGGCAGCCTGTGGGCCTGCATTAGCTCCTATTGTTTAGTCAAGAGGTGTTATACTTCTGCAATAATCACAAGCGTTTATGTTGACACTGTTATTAATAATAATTATACTTGTTGTACTTCTGTATTGCAGGGGGCGCTCACCTGATTGGTATAATAAAGTTTTCGGTCATCTGTGTGCGATGGAGGTTGCCAGAATACGCAGCTCATTCCCTGTTCTTACAGCACGAGGACCCGAAACCAAACTCTGAACCCACTGGGTTAAAACGTGAAACTGTTTTATATAAGAAAGAATGAGAAGGGTGAGTGTGCAGGTGTATAACCAAGGATGTCAGTGTAAGTGGGAAAGTGGAAATAAAAGCGAATGAGAAGTCTGGAAATGAATGACAAAGCACAGTACTGTGTGTAATAGTTGGACTATGCAAAAAAAAAAACAACAAAAACAAACCCACTGTGGTTTTAAAAGCCATGGATGATTAATGTGAAAAGCTTAAGCTCACAATCATATGGTTGATAATGCGTCTAATCTGTTTGTGTGTTTTGTTTGTGTGAGTGTTTATATTTGTGTTAAGCAGTGCGTATCTGCAGTGCCTTAAATAATTTGTCTAATAATCCGGCGTGGTTTGTCAGACACCTCATTCTTTCTCAGGTAAACAAGTTTTTGACTTGCGCAGGAATTTTTTGTCTTGATGCACTGATAATGACCAGTTTACTCAAATGCCAAGCACTAGACGTTTAGAACATCCAAGCATCTGCTTTCTGTGTTCTTGGCATTTTGTACATCATCAGTCCAGCTTGACACACAACATAGAGACTACAAACATGTTCTGAGTGGTGCTGTTGAGCAAATACGACACGCTCGGCTGATAAACTATATGATAATCGGATGTGTGCAGGCCAAATCGAATCAGTCTGACATTTTTGTACATCGGTTATTTTTGTGACCTCAGTCCCTTTCTTTTTCCCCCACCCCCTCCTTCCTTATTTATTTGCGTCAGCCATTTGCAAACTTCATTTGTGAAGTTTTAATAATTTAACGTCTGCATGGAATCCATGGGAATGATATTCAAGAGACTTTATTACAGCTTTACTTTTTGTACTTTAAACTTTTTTATTACGCCTAAAGGTAAGGATTTTTTTTTTTTGATACAATTTAATTTACTTATTACATTTCTTAACTGTTATCATTAATCCTAAGTGCCTTTGAGAATCTAAAGAGAAACGTTTGTAATGCGCTAGACTTTTGTTTCGTTTAAATCTGTGCCGTTTCACCAGGGCATTATGTAATATCAGTATTTTATTTATTAAAACGTATAGCTACGTGTATACATTTGTTTTAAGTTTTCTGCCTCAGTGAAATAGTTCAAGTGTCATAATATGGTTATATTTGGTTTTACTCATTCTAATATGTAAAACTCTGGTCCATTTACACATCTTTTTGAATCATATTTCTATTGGTTTTCTAGTAATGTTGATTTAATTCTTTCAGTAACAATCAAACTTGCTTGTGTAATATGCGAACTTAGCCTTCCGTGCAATGAAAATAAAGGAGCTTTTCCAAAGAATGTTTGTGTTTCTGTCTTGGTTTTTTTTATACTGAGTGAGGTATTAAGCCTAAGAACAGAATTTAATTCAACTAACAGGAGTCTTACGGTGTTCGTCAATCCCTTTAGATCACATTGGCGTCCTGCTGGCACAAGGTGTGCTGTAGGACATCGGAAGACATGGGTTTATTTCTCCAAACATATATTTTAGAGTAGGTGGTGGAGAACTATCACTTACAAAATTTGCTTTCCTACATTATTCATTGTAAATTTGTTACTGATACACAGTAATTACTGATTCTGAGTCACAGTCTGTGGGCTGACAGCCGGCCTTGTTGTGGTGAAACCTTCTGAGCTGTCAGTTCTCTAGGGAGATAAAGTGCTCCTTATTTTTTGCCTCTTTAATAATTCAAGCGTATAAAATTGGCCAATTATGCTGTGCCAATGGCTAACAGGTGACAGTTCCCCAACACCTTTTAATGTTACATGAGTGAAATGCTTTTGAATAGGTCAGAAAATAAGTTGGACAATAGATAGTTAAGTTCTTTTTTTATTATTATTATTATATTTTTTTTAGGAAATACAGGTTGCTTCAAATGCTGAGAGATACATTTAAGCTCCGTCAGCTGCAGAAGATTTATTTATGTATGTATACGTGACATCTTTTAATTATTCTTGTTATTTTTTTGGAATGCAAATCTATGCAGAAAATGTTATTGCCAGAGAGCTGTATTAAAATAGCCAGTGATACCACACTGAGACAATGACCTTTGTGACAAATCTAGTTCATGCAAAAAAAAAAAAAAAAAAAATCTTAGTTTCTGGCTATTTAGAGTTATATGGAGTATTGTGTGTGAGAGAGAATGTGAGAGAGACCCTGCAAAGAATGGTAGCAAAAATGAAGCTCCACACCACACGTAATGCAAAGGTTACTGCAAAAGAAACTTTGGTACCACACAGTAAGCTGCCAGATAAATGTGGCAGATTTTAAAAAAGATTTGCCTCTCAGATGCAGTAGCATACAAATGTAAAGACTACATGATAATATTCAGGATATGACAATATAAATATATTATATATAATATGATAAATGCATTCTGGCATATGAATAATATGATATACTGAATAATGATATGATATATTGAATAATAAGACTATATATTGATTAATAATATGATATATTGAATGATATGCTATTTCTATTTTATTTAATGATATATATTAATTTATAAAAAAAATTTCTACTACTATTTACTGTGTTTACAGTTTTTCTTTTTTATTAATATATATGTATGTTACCTTTTATGTAAACTTTTTTTGGAAATACATTTGTAACATTTGTCATGTCAATAAATCTAATATTGAATTCAATTTAATTTAATATTCAGGTAAAACATGAGCATTGATGTTCGATGAAAAATATTTATTAAAACTATGCCTTAAAAACCCCTGAGCACTTTATGTTGTGATGTTGCAATCATATTGCACTCTGGCACATACCGTATAGGTGCTGAAGTGAATATATGAAGCAGGGATCGAAGGTATGTCCATATAAAGGTATTTAAGTTTCTAATTCATCTAGAGCATACAAATATCATAATATGGTAGCAGATATTTAAGAAACATGTCAAGTGAACGTTGTTTATCTGTAAAACAAGAGTTATTCTGCCTAGAAAGTGAGTTAAGTGTCTTTTGTTTTTGTTATTGTAACCCGCCCACTGACATTCAGTCGATTATTTTTCAGCACCCCTGGTTGGCTTGTCGGAAAACCGCGTGTTTGACTTAGGAAGGCTCTCAAAGTATGCGTCCGTGACCGAAATGCTACCACCGGTGGACAGTAACAGCCAACACGACAGTAACAGTGGACAACAACAAGACGCAGATTCAGAGTTCCGGTGGTTCTGAGCAAATAGTATAAACGTATAAACGTTGTACAAACGTATAACGTAAACATTAGGTGAGCAGGTTACATTGTAGCCCCGTGTCCTAAAAATAGGCTACGTGAGGAGATGCAGTTTTAAGCAATTTGACTGTGTGCACCAGGAACATGGGAAAAAAAAGTACAGCCATTTAGAAGCACAGAATAATGTTACTGCACTGCACTCCAGCTAAATGGTAAGGTTTACAATCTAATTATTGCCTATTAAACCTCTTTAACATTATAATGTGTACATGCTGAAGGTCACAGTTCTGAAGTTCAATTTCAAAGGGTTTATTTTATTTTCAATATTTCACAGAATTGAGCATAATTTTTGTTGCTGTTATTTGCACAACCAAATAAATGCCACGAAACCCCTTATTGATGTCCACAATAATCAAATATGTTTGCCTCACTGTCTCCATATAGACAACTTTTCCGTTGTAGTCAATTTGCTCAGTAGCTCGCTTTGGACAGTATTGTACTTCTGATGCAGAGTGCTTGGGTTCAAGTCCAGTGAAGCACATTTGCACAAAATAGACAAAAGCAATGTAAAATCATGATAAAATTGTGGTCGCAGTGCACTTCTATGTTTGCTTTTAAAAACTGTTGGTTGGGTGTAGGGAAGTGTTTATGTCACTGGTTTGCTGGTATTGGGTGACCTATCTGAAACATGCAACAAAACTTGCCCAGGGGGATGAATATTCATTCATTCATTCATTTTCCTTCAAGTTAGTCCCTTTATTCATCAGGGGTCGCCACAGAAGAATGAACCACAAACTTATCCAGCATATGTTACTGAGCCACCTTGTCACCCAGAATGCATTTTATGTTTTGCAAAAATGTAGGCTGAGGAACGTCTTTCCAATGAGATGAGGGCTAAAACAAACTGCAGCTGAACATGTGTGATTTTTGCAGATGCACATAAAGTGCATCGAATGTCAGTACTGCAGACTGTTGTGAATGTTCTTTGCACCATTAGCCAAGGGCAAGGCTGTGCATTAAAGATAATTATCTTTATTTTTTCCATAAGAGCTCAATATTTTGTCAGGAGCTATATAGGCTTTATTTTTGTTTTGCCTTTTTTCTGACTTTCAGAGTGCTGGGATCTGCATTAAGGACCACAGTTTTGGCTCAACTTCTTCTTTGATGTTCTTCTGAATGGAAATAGTTACTTAAATCTTAGATGACCTGAGGGTGAGTATTTAAGCAATCTATTTTTAATATGTAAATAAATAAATACATACTACACACACACACAAACACATATAAAAATGCAGTCTTCACAATAACTTACCAACAAATGTGCTTGTTGCAACTTGCAGCTCATTTTCTTAACAGCTCTATAAAGAAACGACAGCATCATTCGTCAAATCTCTGGCAATGTCTATTTTTTCCCTCATAAGTGAGCAGTATTTAATCAATGTTTAATCAGTGGGCTCATGATTTGACTAAAGGAAAGGGTTTATTTTCTAATGAGAGAAGTACCTGCTGAAGTGTAAAATGTTTTAGGAAGACAATATTCATAAAAGTTAAAGCAGCAGATCCTTAGTGTGTGTGTGTGTGTGTGTGTGAGAGAGAGAGAGAGAGAGTGTTGGAGTGTGCATGTGTGCGGCAGTAGTTTTTGTGGTTTTCAAATGGTTTTATTAATGGTTTCTTTATAATATTTCATTATAGTCATTATACCTTAAATGTTGGGCTCGTTTTAGAAAAAGTTACCAAACTTCAAGATTAATAATGGTTGTTTAGGTTGTTTTCTGCTGTCGTAATAGTTCCCGCGTCATTTTTGAACTGCTCGTGAACAGGAGGGTTAAAGGACTATCATCAATTTGTCAAATTGTAAACAATTGTTATTGTAAAAGAGTAATTAATCTCACAAGCAAGGATTATATTTTAAAGTGGAGGAATTATCTTTATAAACCTACAGTATATAAAATCAATGAAATAAGCATATTTGGAAATAAATTTGAGCAAAACAAAGGATCAGAAGGATCTTCTTCAGCATTGAAACTAAACCTAGAGGTTACCCTAAATTAGGGTTTCCTAATTTAGTATGACGGGTAACAAAGCATGTGCCAGATTAGCAATGTACTAATGTGATGTCCTGTTGATCATCTGCCTAGAATCCAAAGTGGTTTCCTGTTTTTTTCCAAGAGCTTGACACAGGCTGGTGGTCTTTTGCACAGCAATTAATTTCCTTGTACTTCAGTGCTTCCTTCTCATTGTTATCACCTGCTCTAGATAACAATGTAATGCCTAGAAATGCGTTGATGCAATTGTCTTTATGAAAAATGGCCTGTAGCAGTTGCATGCTGTAAGTTTTATTCACAATGTTGAATTAGGTAGGTTTTAGATTTATTGCAGTTCTCTCTCTTTATCTCTCTCTGACCTCCCCTTCTGTTTTATGCACTCTCTTTTTATCCCTTCAGTTTTGATTGTGCCTTACCTGTTGTAGCGATTAGATAAATAGATTGTCTGATAGCTGGTAAAAAAAGAACAACACTGAGGCCACTTTTCAGGCATGTGGATATTTATCATATTATTGTCGTTAAAGGGGTGGTCCACTACGATATCATATTTTAAACTTTAGTTCATGTGTAATGCAGATTAATAAACAACATACAGCATAAACAACATCTCTGAATGTAATATGCTTAAAGTTCAATGCAAAGGAAAGCATTGACTTTTACAGAGTTAGCTTAGCAAAACCTACAGTGAACAAAGTTTGGGCATAACAAGAAAATACATCTGAGTTAATGAGTTCACAGGGGCCCCTCTCATGATTGTAAAGTGCTTTGGGGGAATACACGACAAATGTGTTATATAAATGCACACATTACATTTGTGAAAACCAAACAAATAGACGAAGACCACTGAAAAGATGGTTCTCGGTTTACTTCCATGCGTAAAACTATGGCATGACTTTACAAGAGCATTAAAAAAGACAGAATGCTCCTGTTTTCAGTAACACTTTAGAATAACTATCCGTTATAAATAGTTAATAGATCATTAACAAACTTTCAGGTAAAGAGTTATAAATGACTTGTTAAATAAAAGTTAATAGTTTGTTAATTATTTATAACTGTGCCTTTTTTTATAGCCAATAGATAACTTACAGTACAAGCTGTCCTAAATGTCTTGTTAACTGTATTTTAAGTACTTATAACTATACCTAATAAACTAGTAATAGATCATGAACAAGCTGTTAGTAAAGTAGTTACTAAAGACTTAAGTATCAGTTAATAGTTTATATATGTTATTGGGCATGATTTTAGTTGCAACTATTCTTCATTTACTAAATGTTAGTAAATGAGGAATAGTTGCAACTTTAGAATAACGTCCCAATAACATACATAAGCTTAAAACTAACACTTAACTAATATATTAACTCACACTTTACAGATCAGTTGTTCATCGTTTGTTTACCATCTAATAACACCAGTAAAACTTTTGTTGGACTTTAATAAAATAATTTGTATTTATTTTGTTTTCATGTTTAAATGAAAACAAACCTCATGGGTTTGTATTTTGTTGTATACTGCTGTTCTGCCATGTGATGGCTCAGTATGTGTGTTTCTATACATTAAACACAATATTACAAATTTCATCTATAAAGTTTCTTTGGTTTAAATTCAGCACACAGAAAAGCCTATGAATGGATATATATATATATATATATATATATATATATATATATATATACATATATATATATATATATATATATATATATATATATATATATATATATATATATATATATAATTATTTATTTATTTATTTATTTATTTATTCATTTATTTATTTTTTAAATATTACATCAAATTTCTGTAGCTTGAACTTGTTCCATCCATTTGCTGTTCTACAAAGGTTTCACTGGTAGGTGGTTAACAAACTATGACCAATTGATCTGTAAAATGTGAGTTAATATATTAGTTAAGTGTTAGTTATTAGCTAAAGAATGTTATTGGGTCATTTTATCTAAAGCTGCAACTATTTCTTATTTACTAACAGTTAATAAATGAAGAATAGTTGCAACTAGAATAACGTCCCAATAACATATATAAACTATTGACTGATAATTAAATACTATAAGTACTTTACTAACAGCTTGTTCATGATCTATTGCTAATATATTAGATATAGTTATAAATCATTAAAATACAGTATCAAGTTGTTTAGAACTTGTTAACTAACAGCCTGTAAGTTATCTTTTGGCTATCTATAAGGCACGGTTATAGATAATTAACAAACTATTAACTTTTATTCAACAAGTAATTTATAACTCATTAACTAACAGTTTATTAATGATCTATTAATTAGTTACAACGGATAGTTATTCTAAAATGTTACCGAAGTTTAATTTGTTCATCTGCAAAATCTATGTCAGAAATCTTTTTTATAAGCTTTAGGTTGAAACTTAAAAATACTTTTTTGAACATCAAGTCAATTGTGACCAAATATATATTATTCCTTGGTAAAGCAACCAAAATACAAGCTTGAATTTCTTTCAGTTAAAAGTTATTAAATTTAAAAAATGGGAAAATCCAAATCCTTATTCTCTGTATGCTCAGTGCACAAAACCAGGAATGTTCATTTCCACTGCTTCTCAAGGATGATACATTAAAAAAGTATAGATCCATAATGTGAGACTTTTAATTAGGCAATTAATATAACCACAGCAGCCTGTAATATGAACTGATTTCATGTCCACCGATGTAATTTAGGGTGGGCAATGCAAGAATGCTCCCTGGGCCCATTTCTTCTGTATTTGTTTGAGCTGAATAGATTGATATTCGAATCAGGCTTTGTTGTCTGACTTTCTGTGACTCAAACACTAACCTGCAGCTATAAATGATACAGCTCAGTTAGCAGATGACTGACCTTGGATGCTTTTTTATTAAGCCTGAGCACTGCAAGGGAGATCAGGGAGTGTCTTTCCTCAGTAAAGCCACTCTCTGATAATGAACTCCATCCTAAGTCTTTCTTACAAAACATTGTCTGAAAGCTGATTACAGTACGCCAGATGTAGGAAAAGAAATCAGTGCTGCCAAACTGCTTCAGTTATGTATATTTAAATAATTATTATTTATTTGTTGCAATTATTTGGTTTTTACATTCATTTTTACATACTTTAGACAAATGACAATCACATCAGACAAAAGAAAGCTGTGAACTTCATGGATAATAAAATCACACAATAAAAGTCATGTAATTTAATAACAGCAACGTGAATCATTTGATGTCAATGTGAACACACACAGTATCTATTCCTTTGTACATTTTAGTGCTGTGATTGTTTTTTATTGTGATCTTTCATGGTTGAATCGTTTCAATACACATACTTCCTTCTCCACCATATTCATTTTCAGTTTGGTAACACGTTACTTGAAGGGGGTGTTCATAAATGACATGACACAATTATGACATGACACATATCATGAATATGAATGACATTTTATGCATGCTCAACAGTCATTAAGTGTCATTTGTCAGCTGTCCTTTAAAATGCAAAAGTGACATTGTTTGAAATGTCTTTATCACAACTTTACAGAACCAAATACATCACAACCTGTCAGTGTCTTTGTCACGACAATTTGACAATACCAAGACAACATAACTTGTCATAAATCCGTCATAAACATGAATGTAATTATGCAAGTACACTTGTAATATGAATTTTTAACCTAAACTACTAGTGGTGCCAATTGAATTTGGCATTTAAATGTCATCAATTATTATTAAGCTGTTATAAATTTATTTGACAGAGTACCGACACCAGAGAAGCTGTCCCTGTAAACTGTTTTGTTGTGATAAAAGTGATCAGAAGAATATCCATGACACAATGGGCTATATGCACATCCCGTGTTTTTCAGCCAATTATGAACTTCTGATAAAAGGTCAACGTGACAATTTTCAGTTTCATAAGCTTTATTTTACAGCATTATTGTTATAATGTAATTACAATACATTCAGTTAAATAGACTTAAGAATTTATTTGTTTATTAAAGCGTGAAAAGAGGTAGAAACACAGGCACCATCATAAGCTGCAAGCTAGCACAGAAACTCTATTGAAAACACTGGGGTAAAATTAATTATTTTAAACACATGAAGTGCTTCTTGTTTGGTTTGAGACCCACCATATAGTGCATCTTAGCCAAGCAGTGAAGATCACTGTTTTGTAAAGAAATCAGATCTTAAATGCGTCAATTTTGGAATGACAATTCACCAGAAGCCCTGGGGCTGGCTGACTGAAATTAAAAGTCTGTGTGCATCTAACCCATTAAAATTGCATCATGAAAGATTTTTGACAAAGCATGTTGTTATAGCAAAGTCAAGTTGTCATAACAAAGACATATCAAACAATGTCACATTTGCATTTAAAATGACATAACTGAGCGAATGACACTTAATAGCAGTTATCATAAAAATTCATTCATATTCCTGACATGTCATGTCATGATTATAAAGGTGTCATGAACGGCCCTTCAAGTAATGTTTCCTGACTATATGCAACTGCCATCCCTGATTCTTTGTTTTCCAAACACATCCACACAAGCAAACAAAAATGCAATTAAATCAGTCGGAAGCATTCCAATCCTCATCCCGCCGGGTCCGTCCCGAACAGTCTCCTATCTGCTCCTCTGACAGCCACAGAGTTTGGCTTTCTCCTGGTACACATGCGCTGCTCCAGGTCTTTATGGCAGTTGCAGTTTCTTAGGTTTACGGTATGTGCTTTCTTTGCTTTTCCATATAAGGCTGGTTTTACATATTAATTGCATAAGCATATATTGTTGATGATGGTCTGCTGGTTAATGTGGCTGTGTGCGCTCTCATTTCTTCAACCCTGCAGGCTTCTCTAAGCCTTATTAACTTGTGCAGAGGAGGAGAGCATCTTGAGTGTTTGTGCGTGTGTGTACTGTATGTGTGTGGGGTCATTATCCTGTCATCTATTCACTTTTTAATCCACATGGAATATTAATCTCAGAGCAGATGCATAGTGTGTGTTTGTGTCAGTTAGTCTGCTGGCAGCGATATTTCAGACACTGTTTAAGTCGCTGCTGAAACGCGCTGGTTGTGATTGTGTACAGGATGGGGTTCAGGGCACTGTTTATAGGAAGGATAAAAATCACCACCCACAGAATGATAGTACCTGGAGAAGAGAGACAGACAGAACGAGAGAGAGAGAGAAGAGCTTGCAGATTAAATTGCATTGTCCAAGGGAAGAACTGCAAATCCATTCTAGCTGATAAGTGTACGCGTGTGCTCATGGTGGTTGAATGTCTAATCTTTGTTGTACCCGAGGCTTCAGGTCTCAGACATCTGCTAATCAAAATGCACCTCTCAGCTTAGACTGGCTACTTGCTTGTCTGTTGTGTTTGCCTTAAAAATTCAGCTTGAAGGAAAAAATAAAATCAACAAAGAGATGTAATCCTTTTAATAAAAATAATATATACTTTTTATAGTATATAATTTTTATATAAAAGTTAAGGAATGTGTATTTGGTAGAAGAAGAAGAACATAAAACAAATTGTTATTCTCACCAAATGGCCAATTTTCTGGAAACAAAATTATTATTATTATTATTATTATTATTATTATTATTATTATTATTATTATTATTAATAATAATAATAATAATAATAATAATTAAAATAATAATAATAATATTGTTGTTAATAATGATATTAATAATGATTATGATAATAATAGAAATAATAATAAAAATAATAGCAGCATTAATATCAACAGTAAATACAAACTTCATGATTTATTGATTTTATTATCTATGCCTGTAAGTTAATAAAGTTATTAATATAGTAAGTCTCAATTAGAAGAATATATGTCTTCTCATTTAAAATTCATTATTTTCATACTTTCATTTAAAGGATAGCTATCACCTAGTACCTTCACTCTCAAGGTACATTCACTTGACAATAATGTAAAAATGTACTTAGTCAAAACAGATAACAGATACAGACAACAAGATGCTATAAACAATCCCTTATCCACATGGATCCACTACAAGCCAGCACCACCAAATTCTTCTGCACACAGTCTAGTAGCCTGCTGCTGATGTTTTGGTTGCCTCAGGTGTCTTATGTATGCGCTCATGTTGTACACAGTTAGCCTTTTGACTTGATATGCAATATGCACATGAATAAGTCATTTTCAGCAATGCACTTTTTTGTCATTTGCACATTTTTAGAAACTTACGCTTTGAAACAGCCACTAAGTAAGTTTTTTAAATAAATATAGTAGCCACAAAGTTTTATTTTTTTCTGAATCTGATACATCAAGCTGATCATATATTGTCATGGAAAATCATCCATCTTTGTATGTTGGTTTGTTACTTTAAATTTTGAATTTATTTAGTCTTACTTTTTTGTCCTTAGTTATTAGTTATGCTAGTTATGCCTATAACTACATATCTGTTACCTCTACAGGAACAGATATTAATTAAATGTTCTATACTCTATTCTTGTGGATGTAGTTGATGCAGTTGAAGTCAAAATTATTAGTCTTCCTATGATTTTTTTTCTTTTTGAAATATTCCCCAAATATTGTTTAACAAATCAATGCATTTTCACACTATTTACTATCATATTGTTTCTTCTGGAGGAAGTCTTATTATTGTTTTGTTTTTTTCTAGAATAAAAGCAGTTTTTACTTTTACTTTAGTTTTTACTTTTAAAGAACATTTTCAGGTCTATAATGTTAGCCCCCTCAAAATATATATATATTTTAATTGTCTACAAAAACAAAGAAAAAAAAAAACATGGACATACAATGATCTAATTACCCCAACTCTGCCAAATTAACTTAATTTAATCTAAGCCTTTAAATGTCACTTTAAGCTGAATACTACTATCTTAAAAATATCTTGTAAAATGTTATTTATTTATCATGGGGGGAAAAATATCAGTTAACAGAAATGAGTTATTAAAATTATTATGTATAGAAATGTGTCGAAAAAAAACTGAAATTGTTAAACAAGTTGGGGTTATGTAAATGCATTGTAGTTATGTAAATGCAATAGTGCATTATTCGCAAAAGAACATTTAAATAAATCGATGTCTGCTGGTGCAAAGATCAGATCTAGTTGTTAGGTCCAGTAAATCCTTCTTTATACATTCAACACCAGACCCAGAAGGACAAGCCAGGGGAATTTGCATTATCATTGATTGGAAAGCAGGCACGGATATTGCAGTGATTTGCAATACACAGGCTTTATTTCTCCACAGTAATTAATGGGCTGCCTCATGACCATCATTAGCTAATCTGCATCTAAACTGCGGTCTCACCAATTATGAGTTAAGACATACACTCATAATAACCTGGCAGTGTGCTGTCAGCATAAATTAGCTTGAAAATTGTGATCACACATTTTTTTTCACCCTACCTGCGATCTGTACTCTTAGCAGTGAGAGTATTTTCAAGAGGAAGATGGGGATCCAGCACAGGGCGTCAGTGAACACGATGAAAAAAAATCGCTTTGCAATAGTCACTTCCCGATCATATACTGTTTGACGCGCTGTCTTTGCTGTCTTCTGGACTGAGTAAAACATACTGGAGTAAGAAAATACGATCATCACAAAAGCCAGCAGATTCAGACCTGAAAGAAAAACATACACAACAAATATCAGTAACATTGACTCAAAAGTTTATTCATTCGTTCATTCATTCAATTTTTTTTCGGCTTAATTCCTTTATTAATCAGAAGTCGCCACAGCAGAATCGACTGCCAAATGATCCAGCATATGTTTTACGCATCTGATGTCCTTCCAGCTGCAACCCACCACTGGGAAACACCCATACACTTTCATTCACACATAAAGTGTTCAGCAAAATAAATAAGCTCTTTAATGGTTGTGTAGTAATTGTTTTGTCATATACAGTAACCAACCTTTTTCAAATTTGTTGAAGGCTTAACATGATGAGCAAACCCAATATTTGGGATAAGTTTTTAAATGTATTTTGCAAGATTTAATGTAAAACTGCAACATTTTCCCCAGAGTTAGTTTTCAACAACCCCACATTTTTTAGCGTATGCTTGAAACATGCCCACAATGAGGCATCTACTTGGAAGCTGTTTTATTTTGTGAAGTTTATTTATAAACTAATTTCGAGAGGAGCACGTGATTATGATTGAACACGGCTGGTTCTGCATTAGCATGCATGATCCACCAATCAGGCAATTCCTAACCCGCTATAAAGAGCCAGGGTTTTTTCACTACAGTCATCTTCGATTTAAAGAATCCCCCCTTCCACCCCTACCTCTTCACCTTTCCCTCCATAGGGCAGCACGGTGGCCCAGTGATTAGCACTGTCGCCTCACTGCAAGAACGTCACCGGTTCTAGTCCTTTAACAGGTCGGTGGTCATTTCTGTGCGTAGTTTGCATGTTCTTCCCGTGCTTGCGTTGGTTTTCCCCGGGTCCTCCGGTTTCCTCCCACATTCCAAAAACATGCATAACAAGTAAATTGATAAATCTAAATTTTGCACTACAGTTAATTTCTCACCATGCAGCATATCTTTTCATAGCATTCAATTTTTAGCCATCAGTGTTTATAAAGGGGGAGTTGTCGAGATCTACCTGAGCTCAAGGCTCCCCTCTCGCCCTCCAAACGGGAGGGAGCCCAGGGCTCAAGAACCTTTGAGCTCAGGGCTCTCTCCCGGGACAGCATGCCAAACTTGCTTACAATCAATCATCAGCTAAGTGTGAACACTTGAACTAAGCAATTCTAGGTCTTTTTTCTAGGTATCAAGTAGAGTAAAAGTATCGGTTGTAAATATTAACTTAAAGTATAAATAAAAAGCAGCCCTTTTAAAAGTACTCAAGTAGTGAGTGTTAAGTATTACTCCTTGAAAAGCTGATGCTTTTACATGCAATTCGAGTGTGTGTGTGTGTAAACCTAACATTCTGAAGTACATTTAATGATTGTTTAAGTCTATTTGGCAAGTTTAGTCATAGAGTAAACATCTGCCATCATCTCATCAGTGACAGGCAGTTTAACCAGCCTCTGGGTCATTGATTTTGGACATCATCTTGGACACTTTTAATATGGTTTGCTGCATTTATGAAGTGCCCTTGTCTTAAAGGTTGTTTGTATGGTTGCAATTTACTTTTCTATGTGTGTTTTGATTGTACAGGAATCACAGGACTGATTTTTTACTTAGCCAATCCCCATAGACAAGAAAAAATAAACTAGTGACTGCAGGTTGAAGGAAAGTAGTGGAGTAAAAGTACAGATACATAACTTAAAATGTACTTCAGGGAAAGTGAAAGTACACATTTTTTAAACTACTTAGTCAATTACAATTCCTGAGAAAAACTACTGAATTACAGTAATTTGAGTATTTGTAATATTTTACTTTACACCACTGATAGCAGAACAAATATGATTTACCCTCCTAAATTGAATTAACTGAAAGCTTTTTGATATAGAGCGTTGTTTAATTAGTAAATGTGCTATACAATTTTTAAATGATCCAAAAAAGTAATTAACTGCTAAGTCAGCTTCAGAGAACAATTTAACTCAGTTCATCTTTATTTCTATAGCGCTTTTACAATGTAGATTGTGTCAAAGCAGCTTCACTAGAAGATTATAGTGAATTAAAACAGTGCTGTTCAGTTTTCAGAGTTTAAGTTCAGTACAGTATATAGACTAGCTCAGTTCAGTTCAATGAGTTTTAATATTCACTGATGGGAGTCCAAACGCTAAAGAGTAATCCATCAATGCACAGCTCTACAAGTCCCGAACTTGTAGAGCTGCGCATAAACAAACGCATAAACGCACACATACTGACTTATTCAGCCCTCAAACATATAGCGCACAAAATCTGTATACTCCAGTGACCTTACCGAGAAAAATGGCTGTGGAATAGCATCTAGCACCAGGTTTCTCCGTCTGGTCTGAGTGAAGAGGGAAACACACTCCATTCCGCCCATAAAAGTTCCCAAATGTCTGTTTATCCCAGAAGGGAATAACGGCAATGATAAATCCTAGTAGCCAGATGAAGGTCAGTGAGCACAGGGTCTGTTTTCGCCCGGCACGGTAATGCTGGAACGGGAAGACGATGCACAGGTATTTCTCTAGTGTCATGTAGGTCAGCATCATGACAGACACTTCTGTAGACAACATGGCCAAAGAGCCAATCAGCTGGCAGGACAGGCTTTCCATCCAAATCTGAGCATGACGGTTGTACTCGCCGCAGTACTTGATGTCAAAGGCACCGATGAAAAGCAGATATACACCCATGAGACAGTCTGCACCTATTGGAGACAAACAAACGGAACATTACATTTAAAAGCTGTCATCAATCTGTCCATTGCCATCAGTTCATCCCTGACCCATTTGTCCATCTGCCCATGCAGCCATTTGCCATGTCCATCCTTTCCATGCATTCATCAATCTTTCATTCATCTATCCATTTACCTGTCCATGTATCGATCTGGCACTTTTAGTCCTAAAAATATGACTGATTATTTTAGATGCAATAACTTACAAATGATAGTTAGAAAGGCTCACATGGAAACTAACTTAGATAAGGTGAACAAATTGAACTAATAAAATAGCTAAAACTAAGACTATGGAAAGGAAAAAAAAAAAAGAAAAACATGAAAACATGCTGTTTACAGGCACCAAACTAATTGTTGGTCATTTAAATAAAGCTGAAAAAAAATGTAGGGAAAATAAAAAAAAACAATAAACTCAAATTATATGCTGTTTAGATCAAAAACATCAACTTAAAAAAACTACTTAATTTAAAAAAAAAATATATTGAATTTATATATTCGGGATGTTACGGATCACGGTTGATCCATGATTCATAAAGATCACAACCCACAGTTTGGAAAGCACATGACCCGCAAATTAGGCTTATACATTTTTTTTTACTTGTAGATTAATCCTTAGTTTAGTGCTGTCGCCTCACAGCAAGAGGGTCACTGGTTCGAGCCTCAGCTGGGTCAGTTGGCATTTCTGTATGGAGTTTGCATGTTCTCCCTGCGTTCGCTTGGGTTTCCTCCGGGTGCTCTGGTTTCCCCCACAGTCCAAAGATATGTGGTACAGGTGAATTGGGTAGGCTAAATTGTAGTGTATGAGTGTGTATGGATGTTTCCCAGAGATAGGTTGCAGCTGGAACGGCATCCGCTGCGTGAAACATGTGCATTTAACTTGATGCTCAAAAAAGAAAGTTGTAGGCAGCAATTACATTATTAACCAATAGGTGACAACAACCCGCCATCGAAAATATGCCACTGAATATTTCTTCAAAATTGATTCATTTAGCAATGAAACATGTTCACAAGTTTTATGATTGAAGAACTGAATCAATCAGTATAAAACCAAAAATAAATGTTAGATTTCGACATTAAGCATTATCAGCAACAGTAACAGTAAATTTTTAACAGTATTGAATATTTTATCATTTATTTTTAATCAGCTGATTATTTCTTCATTTTATTTTTAATAAAATTACAGGTTTTAAGTTCTGTTTGTTGAAACCAAAAGTTTCTTGCAGTACTGTTTTTGTAATAAATGGAAAGCAAATTACATTTGCCTCCTCTTGCCACCACTTATTTATTTAGACAGTAGATAACCCATACATGGATCATACTCTTTTAAAAAACAAGTAGTCAAGTCCAACCAAAACACATATAATCCAATCCATACTCAACCAAATCCAATTAAAATGTTATATGGATAAAGTGTTATTCAAAACTTTAAACCGTGTCTGTTCAATATGGCATGCTAAAACTTGATCACATTGAAATGGTGAAGGTGTGCTCATATGCAATGATGAAGAATTGAAATGCCACATGGAACAAAAAAGAGAATCATAAATATTAAAACAAGGGAAAAAAGCAGGAGTATGTCCTTTCAAATGACTAATCACCAGAAAAAACTATTTAAAAGGTGAATATTTTAGCGAGCAGTTCTTAAAAGTGCTATTTATGTAAATCTTATCTTCAATTTCATCATTTGAAATGACTTTGAAAAGTTGTTCATGTGCTCTCTTAAAAATAATTGTCATAGATGGCTCTATAAAATACCTTATTGCTCAGTCACCTTCCTATGGTTTCTTGGTTTCATTCAGTATTTATCTCTGGTAGTGTATGGCCAGGCCTGTTTGCGTCTCTTTTATTGCTGCTCTCTTTATCTCTGTGTCCCAGAAACCTGCTGAGGTGTTTGTTCATCTAATAATTACTAAGCACTGAATCCCCCACACACTTTCATTCACTCCAAAACATGTTCCTCCCCTCACAGATCTCTCTCCCCACTCGTGTTTTCATTCATCACTTCAGGGCCTCTGAGATGAGACACTTCACACATTGTGAGATTGTGTTTTGGAAAGTTAGCATTTATAGAGCCAGATTTCATTTTGTGAGTTTTCTACTGACAGTGTGTGAATTAAAGATCAGAGATGTAGCAGCTCATTGTCATACTGTCTAACACTGCACAAACCACTGTAAATTAGGATGCAAACAAGAGCTGATGATGGTAGAGCATGCGCAAGTTTCTAAGAGGTGCAAAATGGGTTAACATGTAAAAGACGAGTCAACTAAATGATACTTTGGCTGCTAATCAAGACTAAACGTAAAGTATGAGGCACAGCAGTATGATTTAAAATCTGATACCCAAATTTACAATGTTTATTTACTAGGGCACATTGATATTCTTTAGATGAACATTTAAGCCTTGTAAGTTAATCCACTGAAAAAAAAAGGTTTTGGTAGTCTTCAATCAACTGCCCTGATGACATCGGTTTGAGGGCAACGCAGTGGCGCAGTAGGTAGTGCTGTTGCCTCACAGCAAGGAGGTCGCTGGTTTGAGCCTCGGCTGGGTCAGTTAGCGTTTCTGTGCATGTTTTCCCTGCGTTCGCTTGGGTTTCCTCTGGGTGCTCTGGTTTCGCCCACAGTCCAAAGATATGCGGTGCAGGTGAATTGGGTAGTTTAAATTGTCTGTTTTGTGTGTGTGTGTGTGGATGTTTCCCAGTGATGGGTTGCAGCTGGAACGGCATCCGCTGCGTGAAACATGTGAGGGATAAGTTGGCAGTTCATTCCGCTGTGGTGACCCGAGTTAATAAAGGGACTAAGCCGAAAAGAAAATTAATGAATGAATAAAGTCAGCACATGTAAAGTTGTTTTAGACAGCACTACCAACTGCACCACTGCGTCGCCCATGTGCTGACTTATGCTTATTTATTTATAAACATATTTGGAGGAATTCTGAAGAAATGTTGAGAGTGTATTTATTAATTCTACATTGCCTATTAATTCAGTGTTAGTACGTTCATATTGACAAATGCTGAATAAGTGAGTGCTGATTATGTACAATGATCATAAAGCAAGCCATTGCAATCTATTATAACTTATTATTTAGTGGCATTTGGATTCACAGATTTTCTAGGGCTATTTTAAATGCTTACTGTTTTCCTGACTGTCTGACACTTAGACTGACTGGATTTCATTAACCTTTTCATTTCAGTTTAATTGTTATTGAAATTAGTTGTGCCCTAGGTAGTTTAGATTAGTTCACCCTAATAAATGTAATACCGCTATTGATTACTCACCCTCATGTCATTATAATCCCCTGAGACCTTCATTTATCTTCAGAGCACAAATTAAGATTTCTTTATGATGAAATCTTGAAGCTAACTGACTCTTTATAAACAGCAAGAGTCATGAGTAGGCATGGGACGACAACCATGTTCAAGGTATACCGTGGTTTGGAAAAGTCAAGGTTTTAAAACTGTAAGTTTTCTGCAATACCGTTTCTAAGGATTGTGTAAGATTTTTTATTTACATTTTTTTAGGACAACAGTATCTCCAGCAGAAAAGATCTCCAAAGATGCCAATTTAAATTGTAAAAAAAAATGTGTTTTTGAAACTAGTGAAGACAGCAGAAGTCAATGATTCATCTGAATTATTTAACCTGACATGTTTACTGGTCCATAACATTATAAATGTTTCTTAAATTTAAATTTATTGTCTTCAAAGGGGGAACATGTTTTGTTTTTTACACAGATATTTAAAAAGAATATATTTTAGAGCAGTAATCACAATATCGTGATACTGTGAAACCGTGATATTTATATCCAAGGTTATCATACCATCAGAATCTTATACCGGCCCATGCCTAGTCCTGAGGTATTCAAAGTCCAGAAAAGAAACCAAAAACATTTTCAAAATATTCCATGCACGCTCCAAGAAGACCTTCTGCACCAAAAACCCTTTAAAACCAACTTCAGTGTGTCAATTTTGCCAGCTTTTTCTTCCACGTCAACTCATCAGTGTGTATACAGGCAATACAACATAATGCAATTAGAGTCAGCAGCACAACATGCATGTATTGTGTTGCCCTATAAGCGCAAATGAAAATTTCTACAGGTTATTTGGTATACAAAGTCATCCTAGAGCCTTGTATGTGTAAAGTTGAGCTGCTGAAGTCACATGGAGAGTTTTGACAATGTTTTTGGTTTCTTTTCTTGGCTTTGAACACTTCAGAACTCTTGTTTATTTATGGAGGGTCAGAGAGCTCCAGGATTTCAAAATATCTAAATATCAAAATATCAAAATATTTTAATTTGTGTTCTGAAGATCAACGAAGATCTCAGGAGATTGGAATGACATAAAGGTAAGTAATTTACAACAGATTTTTTTTTTTGGTTGAACGAATTCTTTAATGTACACTTTTTGGGGGTTTTAATTAATACAACAAATACCACTGAATATAGCAAATCTTCCTAATTCATCTTGCTTGATTCATTAAAACTAAAAGAAAAACTCTTCAAAATGCATATGCAATATGGTTCGCAGCAAAAAAAAATCATATCCATGCCTCTTCATCACTAATGTTTTACTCATGTCCTTATTAAATCCTGAGAGTATTTTCTTAACTATCAAAAGGCTTTCCGCTGATGCAAGCTGTTAGTAAATCTGCCCTGTTGTGTGGAACTCTAATCTGAACTGAACACGAAAGGCCTACAAAGACAGCTCGAAAACACACTTCCGCCGCCACCAAACATATTGCACTCATTCAATGTCACCCAGTGGGGAAACTCAAGATTTGCAGAGACACAACACAAACCCTTTGCTCTCTCTGCATGTCTCTCATCTGACGAGGTGACAGGGTTTGATCATTTAAGAGAGGGATGTGTCCTTTCAAAATCTATGTGGGTTAAGAAAAACTGCACCTATCTAGCCTTCTGCCTGTCCATCCATCTCTTTTTCAGCCGCCTGTCTGCTATCTCTCTCCATCACAGAGACACAGATTAGTCTTCAGACTCTGATCCCCAGCTGAACAGCTCTAGATATCGCACACTGATCCAACCTTTTCTAATAAGCTTCCATTTCTCTGGGCGAATGAAGGTGTTTGTGTGTGTATGGGTCCAGGTACGAATCTGAAGTGTGCGTCATAGGTGTCGAAGAGGTCGTCCATAAGTTGACTAGCTCACTTTGTGCGACACTGATATAATTATTTATCTGCCCAGCAGGCACGGTAGAGTGTGAGTGTTTTGATGTTTATTATAAGCTTATGATACTGCATAGATGTATAATTTAGTGAGTTTCAAGGCTGTGTGTTGATGTGTATAATTAGCTGAGTGTGTATAACGACGTGTGTGTAATTTCTGCAATTAGAGGGAACTACGACCCTTTAAGCTTCTTTGTTTGATGCCTGCAAACTTCCAAAATTAGACCCTGCACTCATACACTGGTATTTCTGAAAGCCGACAGTCTTCTTTATCTTTATGACAAACATCTTTAACTTTTTGAACTTTGATATAAAACATACTGCAGGTGATTGGTTATATCAACACATATTCACATACTCCATAGCACCATCTAAACTTGTTGTGACTGTATGGTTCAATTTTAATTCATGTTGTTGTTGTTATTATTATATAGTATTATTTATTTGCATATATAGTTATATTTATAGTAAATTATTTAATAGTATATTATTATAATAATTTAAATAATTATTTATACAAAGATTCATGAAAACTATCACATTTACCACAAAAATATCATCCAGCACAAATTCAATATTTAAAATAAGATTGAAAATCTGCAAATAGTTTTAGACATCAGAGGAATAAATTTTATTATTATTTTTCTAAAATATGAATACTGTTATTTTTATCTGAAATGACACTTAAGTTTAGACTATTGACCTTTTTCACAATCCATCTTTACATCTGTAGCATTTTTTTACAATGTAAATTTAGTTAAAGGAGTTTAACATGAAGTTTTATTAAATTGAAACAGCTTCAGTTCACAAGATGGCGATGATGTGTCTAATCATCAGCAACCTAATTTTGATATCTTGAAAAGTTATTATATCTTAATTTTTAAAAACTCTATGCACATTTATGATGCAATACTTTCTATTAAATCATCTTTGCATAAAATTACAAAAAAAAAACTAATTACTGTTTATACAAGGTGTAATGCAATGTCTATGGACAGGACTCTACTCTTGACATTGTTTTCTCTTCTGGCTACCATTATCAGTCATTTATATATATTTATTATTTGAACAAGAACAAACAAACAAACAAAAAAATTCTGTACTCTCCCATTTACTTCTAAGTTAATCTAACTATGACACATTTTTTTTTTTTTTTTGCTGAGAAACAGAAATGTTAAAAGGGTCCATTGCAGTTTTGACTGTATTTTGATTAAATAAACGCAGCCCTGAGTGAGTTTTTAAAAATATCTTACGTAAAAGTGACCTATAATGAAAATCTGGGTATTCCAAGGCATAATAGAAAAATAAAAGATCAGTATATGGAAATTGGCATACTCTGAGCCTCAGGCACCACTGTTTCCTCATTCTTATGTAACGAGTGTAAAAACCCCGTGGACAACAGGCCAATTTAGAAGACAAAAAAAAATAAAAAAATACTCTGATGAGACCTACAGGCTATACCCTACACATTTGCATGTCTGCCTACTTCAGGTCATTCATCTACACCTGACGAGCAGCTGATGTCATCAACAGAACATTTATGCATCTCTGAGATCATAAAAAAGCTCTGAAATCATTATTATGCACATCCCAGGCTGCGTTTGATAATCCAAACGTTTTCTAGTGATACAACAGTTTTCCACCCTTAGTTATTTTATGCAAATATTTTAACTATATGTATGTTTTTTTTCTGAAAACGCTAGTCCCAAACTGTTTACTGTGTATCACTGACAGAATGAGGCATGTTCAAACTGGCCTCAGGATGCAAAATGCAAGATTTACAGACTACACATTTATTCATCTCCACTCTGAAGAGGCATGGGGTATGATTAGTTACACCTTTTTTTAATTTATTGTGTTTGTTGTGAAATTTGATGTTTCAACAAACATATGAATTCTGCTGAATCGTGTCAAATCACTCAGCTCAACAGTCGCCTGTTCATGCAGAGGCTGATATTAATTCCTGGCTGTGTTTTATTTGACCATAGCTTTAAAATACAACGCAATACATCTCTATTATTCTCTTTTGTCAAGTTTAAATATAATTTAGCCTTTATCCACAACCGATTTGGTTAGCAAAATAGGTTAGCGTCACTCTGTGTTCAGCATACATCATGTTCTGTGTATGTGTGTCTGTAAAGGGCAGTACGTCAGAGCAGAGTTTATTAATATTCAAAACATGAACTAGGCTATATATGGTCAATCATGGACTTTCTGATTTTATTGGTATTTTATGGAGTAATAAAATGTATAAAACCATTTCTAGAGATTTTATTAACTTACCCTTGCCATGAACCCACTATGTAGATATCAAAGAACTATTGAATTTATTAAACCACTGCAGTATGGCACCTTTAATGACAAAACTGAACTATACTAGTATCTAAAACAATATTTATTAAAATACATTTCTAAACCTTCCTACAAAGTCCAACTTTATAATCTAGTGAGCTCATGATGGAATAAAAACAAGTCTGATTTTTTTGATGCTGAAAATCTTGTTTCAATCTGAAATGTCTGAAGATCGCGAATGGCATTTTTTGTGTGTGAAGTGCTTTAGTTTAATGTTTTGACTGACTGATTGATCTTTTGAGTTTGGGGTTGAATATGAGCTGGATATTGGCCGTGTCATGCTCATGTTTGATGTATAATAGACTCACAGCAAAGGGATTTGATGGCCATGGTGTGATGTTGATTCTCTGAAGCAATACAGGACCGCAGACAGATGACGAAGATGTTTCCGAAGCAAATGATGAAGGCGACAACCCAGACAAACACCCGCAGAATGATGTTTGCGAGCAGATTCTCAAAGGATGAGATTCCGTCTGTGTTTGGTTTGCAGCTCCGCACATTTGGAGAATATCCACAGAATTCAAAACGCTTGAAATAACTGAAATTGTTCAACACAAAAATGACAGAAAAAGACAAACAGAAAAGCTCAATTGTTTTACACATAACAGAAAGCAATCATATAAAGCTTAATCATCACATGTAACTTCATAAATGTTCGTTTAATTGCAATTGGTTAGATTTGCTCATGCATAAGTGAAAATTGGTCATAATTTTTTTTTTTCATCCTTGTGTCATTCGTGTGGATTTAAAAGCGTATCCTAACCATTTTATTTTAGCATCATGAAGTGCATGAAGACTGAGGATGTCAGGTTTCAGAATGTCAAAAGCATGTCATAAAAATATGTCTAGAATAGTCCAGGCAACTGTCAGTCATATATGCCGTTGTTTGGAACAGACTGAAATTTAAATCTGAAAATCATCTTCACTTTGATCAGCTGTGGACAATATCTGAAAACTAGATCACACTTCAGACCATTCAGATGAGTTTTGTGAACTCAGTCAAGTAATTTGCTGAAATTATCTGGTTGAAGAAAAAGTGTGTTTACAGTTATCTTTTTTTTTTGCCTGTGACGATTCTTTTCATGGCTTCAGAAACCATCATATGAAGGACGATTAATTGTTCACCTTAATTACAAACATTTCTCTTTTCACTTTTGTACTCTACTGATGAAGAAACTAGTTTAGAGTCACATGAGGATGAGCACATAATGGCAGTTTTTATCAAGAAATCAAGCTTGAGCGTGTTCACATAAAAACTGAACCTTTAGCGAATACCAGTATTGGGTAGGTTACTTCAACAAAGTATTAATTACTAACTATTAACAACATCATTAAAATTGTATATAAAGTTTTAAAGATCCCAATAAATCTCATTGTATAAACAAACAATACTCAATTTATTTATTTTTTACATTTGAGACAAACAGAGCATTTTAGATTTATCTGAAAAAACACTTTTTAGCTAAACAAGTTTCTTAAGCATGTGCATTTAGTCACCTTAGGATTATAAGGTTCTATCTGACATTTTTGCCAAAATTTATTTATTGACATATTCTTATTAAATGACAACTTATTTACATTATTGGATGCTTTTTTTAGGATCATTTATTCAAAAATCAAATGTGACACATACTGTTTGCTATATGGAATGCAAAAAATGTGATTATAAAGCTTAATATCTCAAAATCATTCAGAACACAACGCAGATAGAACCTTATAATTCCAAGGTGACCAATTGTCAGACAAATCTAACCTTCTTTAGTTATTCTACTTCTTAGCTACTGATTTTATACCATATTTAAACTAATTTCTAACTTAATAATTTTTTAGCATATGTACTGTAATTGTTTTTGATAAATATAACCTTCTTCAACTGAAAAATGAATTAATTCTTTCAAATATATTTCTATAACATAAAATACAATCACAATTTTTTCAAACAGAACTGTTGAATATATGTATTGTATTAAAGGCAAGTAACTTATAAGTAACTGCAATTACTTAAAAATAAAAAGGAATCTATTTACCTTTTCATTAATTCAACTACAGTTTCTTTGTGATACATTTAACACTGCCACAGCACATCATACTAGTCCAAAGGTGTTTACACTGGCATCCAGTTAATTTAGGATAGATTTTAAAGTATTAGTAATGGTTTATACATTGCTAAATTGTCTATATGCTCACTGAAAACAACCCTAGCAGAACACTTAGACCATTATAATGTTAGGTAAATTAGAAATTACAAGAGTTCACTCAAAGCAGGGTGAATTTTCTTTCAGCTACAACACCACCCGCTACTGGAACCAGCTTCAAGACGTGATCAGATGTGCTCCAATATTAGGCAAATCTTGACTGAAAATACATCTGTTTAGCTGTGCCTTTCCCGGATGACCACTGGGTTACGTCTGACACTATTTTCACTGGGCTATGTCTGACACTATTTTGTGTCTTTATTTCTTTATTAATCTTATTATTATTAGTTTTAACACACGTTATAAATTTGTTTTTAACCATTTTAATTATATATTTTTTATCTTTTATTCTTGTTTTTGTAAAGCACTTTAACACTCTTCAATGTGTATGAAATGTGCTGTACAAATAAACTTGCCTTGCCTAATGAAGTACTGACACCAGCTGAACACTTTACCCTGTTGCACAATCAAATCAAACAATCCAGCCTGAACAGAGTACGTGTTTCGCTGTCTTTTCTTAAGACCAGAGTGCTTCCGCAAACACACACACACACACACACACACACACACACACACACACACACACACACTCACACACACACACACACACACACACACTCATCAGTCTCATCAAGAGTTTCAAAAAATGCAAACCTAACCTTCTATTGCTGTCACAGTCTGCTAGAGTGGGCCTGTCTCAGATCAAAAGTGAATTTTTAACATGGCTGATATCTGCAAAGTAACAATTCAGAAAACCTCATCTCCACATCAAAGTGCAGACAGGTTCAGCATGAGGTTCAGCACTCAAAAGACTTTGGTACAGCATCTCTCCTCAGCACGCGGCGCCTCTTTTGTTCACCACTGGTGAGGAGGGCACTCGTTCCTCATAAAGAAATGCTGGCATTCCATTTAAAAATCTCTCTGAAGACCTACACTACCAATTTTTTTTTTATTTCATTTTCATTTCCCCAGAGGGGTACACATCTGTTCTGGAGATATTAAATCTGATGGAAGAAAAGTTAGAGATAATTCTCAAGCAGAGCGAAGCACGGTAATCTTGTCACCTGTGGAAAAAAAATCAGGGGTTCATGTTAAGATGTATTTACCAGCGGGTTTGACTTCTCGAATGTAGTAATCATTCACCTGTGGGCCGACAGTTACCATCCAGCCCACATTCAACAGTAATGACCTCTCTCTGCCTCTCGTGCTCTGTCAATTGATGGCTTAATAGAGGCATTTGTTGTATTTGTCTCGACTCGCTGTGCTCGACTATGCTGTGCAAGCCTGAAACACAGATAACTCTCCATAAAGGGCACACAGTGAAACAACTATGTATATATAGGGTGGCACGGTGGCTCAGTGGTTAGCACTGTTGCCTCACAGCAAGAATGACACTGGTTCGAATGCCGGTTGGGCCAGTTGGCATTTCTGTGAGGAGTTTGCATGTTCTCCCCATGTTCTCGGGGGTTTCCTCTGGGTGCTTCGGTTTCCCCCACAGTCCAAAGACATGCACTATAGGTGAATTAAATAAACTACATTGGCCATAGTTTGTGTGTGTGTGTGTGTGTGTGTGTGTGTGTGTGTGTGTGTGTGTGTGTGTGTGTGTGTGTGTGTGTGTGTGTGTGTGTGTGTGTGTGAGAATGATGGTGTATGGTTGTTTCCTAGTATTGAGATGTAGCAGGAAGGGCATTAGCTGCGTAAACCATGCTGAATAAGTTGGTGGTTAATTTTGCTGTGGTGACCTCTGGAATAGAGATGAAGCCGAAGAAAAGTTAATGAAGGAATACATATTTATAATTTGTGTACACATTATGACAAATATGACTCCCTGACTAAAATCCTCTGTGTGTTACCAAAATAGCAATGACCTGCTGAAGCACGAACTCCTGAATTTGTCTTGTAATATTTGGCTCTGCAGTAAGATGGTAGCTGTGGATCATTCAAATCTCGAAGATTGTGAGGTGTAGCCGCCATGGATTGAACTGCTACATCTCACAGATGAGTTATGGAGAATTTGAAGGACAGGACAGCTCTTTATCATGCTCTTCAAACCATTACCAAACAACATCGGCATTTCTTTAGCTGAAAGAGGGCACTTCTACCAGAAAACACCACTTTTATGATAGTCTAGAACAATGTTTGGTTGGTAGAACCTGTCAAATTTGCAACCACATGAAAGACTTGATGGCATTGTACAAAACATCACAGACCCTCTTATCAGTGTCACTCAGTGCTTCCTAGAGGCATCTTTTCCTCTAGTAAATGTTGCACTGCACTTCTCCAAGGTCCAGTTCTGATTCATGCTCATTGTGTAGGCACTCTGATGATTGGTCTACAGAAATGCAGCAGCATGCGGTGCACTTGTGACACATTCCTCCTATAAACATCATTAAATTTATTGTTGACTGGCAAGTATTTTCTGTTTATTTGGTCCAGACAGGACTGCCTATGTTGCTCTCGTGCATCAGTGAGCCTTGGGTTCACAACACCCCAGAGCTGCTCTGTGGTTTGTCGATTCTTGGACTACTGTTGGTAAATTCTGTTGACCAAGAGCAACCCACAAGCCTCAACATTTCAGTGATATTCTGATCTAGTTGTCTTGTTTTAACAATTTGCCACTTGTCAAAGCCCTACAGCTCCCTTTACTTTGAATTAACCTACAAAGTTAGTTGCAGTTTAAGAAGTTGGTGTCAATACATATTTTAAAAAAAGATTTTAAATTTGGAATCCAAAACAAGAGGTTCTGATAAATGATGTTATCTGTTATTTGTGAACCACATAGAGTGTGTAATGTTAATCAAGGGCAGAACACTCCTGTAAAATTTTCAAAAATCTCAACGTGCTTATTGCTAAAAAATAGGCTATAATAACAGATCTTTATTCTTGAAAAAACAAACAAAAAGCGCTTTGGGGTAAGCTCAAATGTATGGTCGGTGCTCTTTGGGTAAGGGATTCATCAAAACAGCAACAAGAATCAGTCCAAGGCATTCGAATAAAGTGAAAAATTAAAATGGCTTTATTCACATGGCTAAATCTCCCTACGTGTTTCGGCAGAAGTCTGCCTTCATCAGGGTGAATTAGACTTCTCTTCTTTTTTGTAAAACAGTTTTTCTATAGTTTCCCAGAGATGGGTTGGGCATCCGCTGCGTGGAAAGTTGCTGGATAGGTTGGCGGTTCATTCCGCTGTGGCGACCCCGGATTAATAAAGGGACTAAGCCGACAATAAAATGAATGAATGAGTTTTTCTATAGATGCTTTACAGATTATCATTATACATTGATGTATGTGTTTTTATATATATGTATTTTTCTTTTTTTTTTTTTTCTCTCTCTCTCTTTTCCCATATATGAAAGTGGGTGTTTGTGTATCTATGCTGAATTTATGATGATAGTAGACTTTGCTTGTTAAATTATCTGAGTGCCATTTGAGATGTTTAAATGAGTCATGTGACCGTAGTACTCAAAAGAGACTCTAGACGTACCTGATCACTGTTACCCTGATGATGGCAGACTTCTGCTGAAACGCGTAGGTTTTTAGAGATTTAGCCATGGGAATAAAGGCTTTTTAAATGTTTCACTTTATTCGAGTGCCATGGACTGATTCTTGTTGCTGTTTAGATCTTTGTTCTTGTTCATTTCTCCTGCAGCCACCACAACTGATAGTTTGCTTTCAATCTAATCGACCTAGACCTTAATATGTGGTTTTGTTTGGAGACGATCAGTGGTTTTCACTTCACCTGTGACCACCTTGTTTTGCCTTAACAGTGTATATATGTGACTAGAAAACCAGTGCTTTTGTTTTATGCTCACATGTGAGTGAGGTTGGTAAGGGGCCGGAACATCCTGATACTAATGTTGGGAATCTCCACCTCTTCCATGCTCCTGCAAACAAAACAGACAGATGCAAACTTTACCTTTTGTAGGTTTTGACTGTACTGAATAACAACTGTAGAGGAATAAAACTGAAATAAAGTCCAGAGAAATATCAGCTAATGCATGAACGGACACAAGCTGGTGAAGACTGAACCTCTGCACATAAATCTCACTACATCTCTCAGCTGCTACATTTACCGGGAAAGGATCAGCCTACAGACAAGAACATAATCTTATTTAGCTCCGCCTTGCTGTTTTTCTGCTTGTTACTAACACCAAACCAGTCACATCTTCGTTTTAGAAAACCCTTTTCCTTATCAGGGCAATATATTTTCACTGAGCTGAGCTGTTTTACCTCGGTGGTGGCATTTCTTAAAAATAGAGCATGCCATTCATATATGTTAAATTATTCAAATGAATACTTGGCCTGTCTAATACACAACATAATTAAATAGAATTTCAATACTGGATGCAGCATCAAAGGTTTAAAAAATAGTGAATTCTGAGGCAATTTTCAGTTGTTTTCTTTTGCCTTTTTGCCGTTCTGACCCTGGTCAGCAGGACTCACTGAGATTAAAACAGTGTGGGGGTTTGTAAGAAGAGGACTTAAGAATGTTGTTCCTTGTTGTTCAATAAATCTTATAGTTCTGGAATAGCTTGTGGGCCTTCAATTTCTGTTTTTATCAACAAATGACTGATTTTCGCATTATACGAAAATATATTATATATAATATATAATATATTATATATATTGAACTTATTCTGTAGCTCTACTTTAAAGGTACTGTAACTTTTTGTTTCAAAATTTATTGACGAGTCAGTATGAGGGTAAGAGTTAGTAGATTGTGAAACCATCCTCCAAACCATGTGAATAACCAATCATTACTGCAGGGAGCCTGTAACAACTGTATATATTCTAAACCTAAAGACCATTTCAATATGGCGATATCATTGTTCCATGAACATTTCCTGCTGGTCATCACAATATTTCAGAACTGTAACAAGATGTGATACAGTCATATCTAATGCTAACACCGCTGTCATTAAAAATGCATCAATATTTGGAGCTTTTTAAGTTCTTAGAAGCTATGGAAATGAAAAATCTAAAACAGGAAATACATTAAGACCATTGCTGTTGTTTACATCCCTCACAAGGGTCTATATGGGCAGATTTCAAAGGAAACAGCCTGTGTTATTCAACTGATATGTAAATCTTACACCTGAACTAATAGGTCTTCAGCTGTCAAAATAGTCCACATTTCCATTTAAACATAGATGACAGTAGATTTCATTTTGTAAATGGTGTTGCAGATCGCACAGTATTGCACACATAGTTACAGCATTGCCAGAACAAAGATCGTCAAAGGCATAGTTTAAAGTGCTAATAATTACATAATGTAAGCATAAGTTTGATTTCCGTTACCCATAGAAAATTAATCAATTACACGTAGTTCCTATTAATTCTTTCTCTAAAACTTTCTTCAGCTAAGCAAAGAGAAAACTGAAGTCATTGCTTTTGGGAAAATCGTTGAGGTTCTAAAGGTGAATGCGCACCTCGGCTCTAAGGGTCAATCAACAAAAAATAAGGTCGAGAGTCTTGGTGTGATTCTGGAGTCAGATCTGAGTTTCAACAGTCATGTCAAAGCAGTAACTAAGTTTGCATATACCGTCTTAAAACATTGCAAGAATTAGATGCTTTGTTTCCATTGAGAAACTTGTTCATGCTTTTATCGGCAGCAGAAGGGATTATAGTAATAGATTCCTCACTGGCTTTCCCAAAAAACAAACAAACAAACAAAAAAAAATGGTCAACCAGTTGCAGCTCATCCAGAATGCTGTGGCCAGGATTCTGACCAGAACCAGAAAATCCGAGCACATCATACCTTTCCTCAGGTCTTTACACTGGCTCCCAGTTACATTCAGAATAGATTTTAAAGTATTACTACTTGTCTATAAATCGCTATATGGCCCAGGACCTCAATACATTACAGATCACTCAGATCATTAGGATCAAACAAACTAGAAATTCCAAGGGTTCAGTCAAAGCAGGGTGAATCAGCTTTTAGCTGCTACAACCCTTACTACTGCAATCAGCTTTCAGAAATGATCAGATGTGCTCCAACATTCAAATCGAGACTAAAAACACATCTGTTTAGCTGTGCCTTTATTGAATGAACACTGTGCTTCGTCAGATAGATGAAACTATTATGTCTTTCTTTTCTTTTCTTCCATTCTTTTATAAGCTGTTTTATTGTTTTTATTTGTTTTTATTTTCTTATACTTGTATTCTTGTTTTATGTAAAGCACGTTGAATTGCTACTTTGTATGAAATGTGCTGTATAAATAAACTTGCCTTGCCTTTCTCCTTGAAAGAATTAAGATTAAATTTAGAGAAAGGAGCAACTTTTGTTTTTTCCTTACAAATGGCCCTTCCAAAGATATATAAGAGATAAAATGTATTTTACAGCTTTACGAACTTCATGTCAGCAATTCTTTGGTTCTATTTTTATTTTGCTTAGGGATTTGGGGTTTGATCCTCTGAGCAATAGACATGTCTTGTAAGTAGGGCTATGACTGGCTGAATGGATTGACTTTCCAGAAATGCATGGTGTTGATCCAGGAACATGTCCCACTTCTGTAAATCACATGGTAGTGTACAGGTCTACAGAGTGCAATCTAGCAGACCTCTGTAGACAACACTGAGCTGCAACACTAAAAAAGATTCTTCCCAGGAAAGGGCAGTGAGAGAACCAAGATGTTTTAAAAACCCTTTTAAGACCTCAATTAAAACAAACATGGTTATCCTAAACAACTAAATTCCACCCATTTTTTAAACTTTACCCTTGGGAAATAAAAAAACTAATCACATAAATTTAAAATTATATGCATTTGTGACCATGATTGGCTACCTAATCAGAGTGAACTGAGAGTATAAAAAGCTCATTCAATGTGACTTTAGATATTTGATTGTTCTCTGATTAACAGTCTGATGTTGTTAGTCCTGAACTGAATGTGAATATCTTGTAAATATTATGTAGATTTCTGCATGCATTATCCAGAGATAAAGGATCTCTCCTAACTCCTAACATGCAGCATTAATGTGGTAACTGATGATGTGTTCACTCACAGAGACTGCAGATTCACCAAACTGTCAAATTGATTGCTGTATATGTTCACCAGGGGATTGTTGGAGATATTTCTATAACACACACACACACACACACACACACACACACACACACACACACACACACACACACACACACACACACACACACACACACACAGAAACAGACAGTAAAATAGTTATTGATGAAGCCAATAATATGCTTCTGTGATTCATTGGACCTGTCACTTTGTCCGAAAGGCTTTCTACAAATGAATGAATACACTGGGCAGATCAGAACAACTACAAGCGAAAAACACAGAGATGCTGCTCCACTGAGTGACCTCACGAAAAAAAAATATTGTATAACCTTTACCTCTAAACAATGAGTTCTAGAAAACATCATTTGCAACATAAATAACAAAGTTCAGAATGTGGCTCTCACAGCTGCTTGAGGTTCTGGAGGTTCTGGAACAGAGATGGAGGCAGATCTTTAATCTGGTTCACAGACACGTCTCTGTAAATCAAATCACAGGAGATTCAGCAGCTCATTTTTCATCTTAATCATTCATGAAATAAAAAAAGAGCTTCAAACAGAAGCTCTGTTCCAACATTTGAGCTTATCGGGCTGAGATTATTTACACACAGCAGGTGTCTCTCTACGTCTTTCTTTCTCTGCCTTCCAATCTCAGTAAGGGATTTGCTTAAAGGGATAGAAATGAGAATTCTGTCAACATTTATTCACTCTCATGTTATTCCAAATCTGTGTGACTTTGCAAAACAGAAAGCCTTTCTTGTGTTTAGAAAAAGTCTAATAGATGTCAAATAGACATCTAAACATAAACATCTTAATTAAAACAAGGCTAAATTTGGGCTGTCAGTGTAAATCTAGACGTCTAACAATAGCCTAAAAAAAGAATGAATGAATACACATGTGAAGTCTGTCTGATCTGCCTATTTGATGACTAGTCTAGCTATTAACTAACTATTGTTAGACATTTATTACAATTCCAAGATTTCTATTAAACCTCTTTTAAAAACAAAATTATTTGGTTGGATTTTCTGTGAAACGATATTGAATAACAACACTTGTCCAATTCCAAGAAGGGCTTCATTTACAAAACATGTGCTCTACATTCCAGCTCTTGTAAAAGAATATATAACCTTTGAGTAAAAAACTGAACAAAAAGAAATGTATTGACCCAAAGTCTTGCCCTCAACCTGAGCTTTCAAATCTCACCTCTGCATTTATACAACTTTCAGGCTATGTATACAACCTTCATTTCTTTATGCTTTTGTTGTTTGGTGGAGAGCTATAAACATTTTTTTTCTGTATTTCAGGGCAAGCAAGAAAGAAATACAGGATGGAACAACTTGAGGGTAAGTAAATCAGAACAACAGACAGAATTTGCATTTCTAGGAGATCTAACCCTTAAAAGCTTACAAATGCAAATTCTTTTTCTCTCTCTCTTGCAGTACATTTTTATAAGCAATGAACTGGAAAAAATAATGACAAAAATGTAATGTAGTGAAAAACGAATGCCTCCATTTATTTGTGATTGTGCAACTACTCACAGGTCTATCAATCTTTGCATGTCTGCAAAAGTTCCTTCTTCGATGGTGCTGATGCGGTTTCTCCTCAACGCTCTAAACCACAAAAAGACAGTCATGTAAAAACACCATCTCCGACTTATACTGTACCTCAATTCACCATTGCTTTCAACAACGCAGAATGAAGTAATATGCTGTACATCTATATGTAAATCAGTTCTGAGTCATAAGAGATTCTGAAGATCAAACTTAAGAATCATCCATCTGGTTCCTGTTTCCAGGAACTATCTCGAACATTTCCTGTAAATGCTTGAGTACACAATCACAAGCTCACAGTCAAAGATTGGGTCTCAAAAGCACTGGAAGAATCAAAGAAATGAAATATTTACACATTTGCAGAAATATGGTCTGCTGTGATATCTATAGCTTTGAATTGGGAATTGGGTGATTGAACTGGATCAGATATCACAACAAACACACTGTCACTTCAGTCGATGTAAGATTCAGTAACATCTTGTCCAAGCAGAAAGGAGAACCCAGTCACAAATGCTAAAATATTAATTTACTCTTCGGTGAACTGTACATTTTTTTCATGGTGTCACTGGGAGTTTCTTTCAACTGTAAGTACTTTTGGCCCTGTGGAATTCCAAAGGAATTTAATTCCCTTTTAACAAGTTGCATGCTTATATGTTATTTGTTTACTAACAGTCAAAATATATATAATAATATATATAATATATGTAATAAATAATAAATTATTTACGCATCTCAGATGTATATGTGTAATAAATAATATATTATTTACACATCTCAGATTAGGTAAATCTATAAGCGTTACACAACATTCTCTAGTGGAAATGACGTTTGGGAAATGTACTTATCTTGCTACAGCTTGAATTGATCATTTAATTGAATTCTGAAGTTCTAAGCATTAAGTCTAGGATTTTCTGATATTATATGGTCATGTATTACTCAAAATTGCAAAGATACTGTATAACATTATAAGAATAACACTCAAAACTGAAATACGCAAAAACATAATTAAACAAAGCTCAGAATTTAGGGATTACAAGACAATTACCTTATCTGGGAACGAAACGCAGAAACATGCCTCCAGAGATTACACTGTGTAACTAGATTATTAAAGTTCGTCGAGACAAACTTTAGGCTGACTTGAGAAAGTCTGTTGGAAATAGTTTGTTTAATTTAAACAGTTTTAAAAAGTATGAAAAGATGATAGATAGATAGATAGATAGATAGATAGATAGATAGATAGATAGATAGATAGATAGATAGATAGATAGATAGATAGATAGATAGATAGATAGATAGATAGATAGATAGATAGATAGATAGATAGATAAAAGCAGTTTGAAAAAGGATAGATAGTTTTGAGGTCACAAAGTTAAATCTATTGTTAAGTCAATGACAGTCTTTTGCAATAAAAGTCTATGGGACAGTTGTTGCTAGGGTGCAGTATCTGGTAGTTAGGGTGTGGCTAAAAAGTTAAAAGCTCTTCAGTTATTGGCAGTTTGGTAGTTCAAGTTAAATGAGCTCAGCCATTAGTCTGTATGACAGTCTGATGCAGAGTTATGAGCTCACAAAGTTTGATCCCATGTTAAGTCAATGAGAGTCCTTTGAATGGAAGTCTATGGGACAGTTTCTAGGGTCCAAAAGTGGTTGCTAGGGCGTGGCCAGAAAGTTAAAACCTCATCAGTTATTGGCAGTTAGGTAGTCTGAGTTAAAAGAGCCCAGTTAGAAGTCTGTGTGACAGTCTGATGCAGAGTTATGAGGTCACAAAGTTTGGTCCAATGTTAAGTCTATGGGATTTTTCCGACCGTCCGGGGACGTTTTTCGGAAAATCGAAAGTCGGATCAGTCGGAAAATATATGGCATACCGAGTCAGAATAGTTTGGAGGTCTGGTGTGAGTTTGGGGGTCATAGCTCGAAAGCTCTAGGAGGAGATAGATTTTGAATTTTAGTCTCAGAAGAAGAAGAATAATATATATAAAAAAAAAAAGTTTAAATAGGATTTCAGTAGTCTGCCTTGTTTCTCAAGCCAGCCTAATAACATTCTTTACATAGTCTTGATTGGGTATAAAGCAACACTGTAAAAAACATCTGTAAATTGACAGTTTTTTCGTATTTTGTGATTCATGTTTTTCCCCACTTATTTTTGCTTTTAAATTGCATTATGTGACCTTGGTCTTTTTCAAAAAAACTTTTAACCTTGAACAGTTTGAAAAAGTGAATTTTATTAACCGTTTTAATAGTTTAAAGTGATACATTGTCTGGGTTGATGTTGTATATTACAGTACAAAACCTTGAAATAAACTGCCAGTACATTTTCTTTTATTTTAAAAACTTTGTTCTCAATATAATCATTTATTAATTTTCTTTTCAGCTTAGTCCCTTTTTTAATCGGGTTCGCCACAGCTGAATGAACCGCTAACTTATCCAGCATATGTTTTATGCAGCAGATGCCCTTTCAGCTGCAACCCATGACTGGGAAACACCCATACACTCTCATTCACACACATACACTACAGACAATTTAGCTTACCCAATTCACCTATACCACATGTTTTTGGACTTGTGGTGGAAACTAAAGCACCCGGAGGAAACGCACGCGAACACGGGGAGAACATGCAAACTCCACACAGAAATGACAACTGACCCAGCCGAGGCTCGAACCAGCAACCTTCTTGCTGTGAGGCGACAGTACTACCTACTGCGCCACTGCGTCACAGTAATGCAATTCACAACCAAAAATAAAAGGATAAACACAAAATACGGAAACTGCTAATTAGTAGATATTTTACACCCAGTCCCAGGTCCCAGTTTGTTTGAATTGTCATACTTTATATTGATATTAACAGTTTAAGAACATCTAGGGTAAAATATTAAATGAAATATTTTCATATTTTAATCTGTTATCTCTAATTAAAACCTGCTTGCAAGAGGTTTCCAACCAAAGAACCAAAATACAGAGAAAAACAAGTCCCACGGGACAAAGTGTCCTTCAAATGCCACTGACAGATCAAATCAAAGGCCTTACAGATATCAAGGATGTATATCAACATGTACATCTAAAACATGAGTAATTATTGTAATTTATTCACTCCCGATGAATTTAATCGACTCCGGTCGTAAATTATTCAGTTCAACCTAAATCTGCATTTATTTGGATTTATGTGGATCCAGCTGAGGCGAGAGACTCAGAAGGAGCGTTAGAAGAGTCCCACTTCTCTCTCCTTCCCCCACACTCAAATCAACTGTCTATAATATAATAACCCTGGATCCCACAACACCCATTGCAGTTTACGCCTTTTTTTACTGTGTGTGTGTGTGTGTGTGTGTGTGTGTGTGTGTGTGTGTGTGTGTGTGTGTGTGTGTGTGTGTGTGTGTGTGTGTGTGTGTGTGTGTGTGTGTGTGTGTGTGTGTGTGTGTGGTTTGTAAATACTTACAACACGGTGAGAGAGGAGCAGTTTTTAAAACTTGATGCCCAGAGAGATGAAATTATATTCCCCTCCATTTCCCTGCAGAAACAAACACCTGCAGTTGATCGCTTGAGCATGAAGCGCTCTAGTGAGTGATGTGAATATATAAATCATCTTTAATAAATACTGAAAAATCATTAAATGTCAAGGTTCTCCTTTAGATAAAAATGGTCAATAAACATTTTGGGCACTTAGACAACAAATTTAAAACTTACTCCCTAGTCAATAAAGGATGTTCTAAGACAAAGCGGTACTTTGCTCTTTTGTAATAGTCTGACCTATATTTTGCCCACATTTTAAACACCAACAAAGGAAGTAAAGTAATGTAGGAACATCTTTCAAAACTTTTGCTATCACAGCCAGAGTGTCTACAAACAAATAATGACTTTTTTTCTTCAGAACTGGTTTCACTTTTCTTGCCATTTTTGCTAATATTCTTAAGCAGCTGGATGTTTCTGTGTTAAAGCAGTTCCCTTTAGATTTATATACACTGCATGAGCAGAATAACCAAGAAGCAGATTTACTAAATAAGGCAAATTAATATTGCAATCACTTAAAAGAACAGATGGTAGTGGAAAGTATTTTGAATGATCTGACAACTGTGCAAATTAAGGTAGTCATGAACTGCTTTAAATGTGTAGTGATTTCTGAGATCCACTCATAACATTTTCAAGATATTTTCATCATAATTTTAAAGTAATTAAATACAGTATTTTGTTTCCATCTTTGATCCCCCTCATTAGAGCACAATGTTTAACAGATTGTAGGTTCAGAGGTAATTGCCCACTGGTGTTTGGCGAACATTGTGCATATTTAAAAGTTTTCAATGCTTTGTTTTTAATACTATAGGTTCAGCTATGTGCCCAGTGAAGCACATTTTAAACAAAATGTGGGTTGCAGAGTAAGTTTTTTCTTGACGAAATCAAAACAAATCAAAAACTGCTTAAGTTCAGTCTAAGGCATTTTTACAAGGTTTGATATAAATGTTCTCTGTTAACTCTCACTTTAATCCAGAGTTTTTGATTAATTCTGGACTGCATACAGCTGAAAGTTGCATCTAGCAAAGAGCCAATCACATGAGACTCATAAGCGTCATTTTAATTATTATCTAATGAGAGAGTCAGTGCAGTTTATTTCTGTGGTAAAAATTCATAGATATTATTATCAGAAATACAATGAATTTAAATACATTTACAAGGCAGCCAAAAGTTAATTAACTGCTAAAAATACAGTCAATTTAACCTTTTTATATGCTAAAGCTAATTTATATGTAATAAAAAAAAATTAAATTGCACAATAGCCATTATTAACATTAATTGACAATTCAAAACCATTCAAATAAATAATGTAACATAATAATTATTTAAATAAAAATATATAGAAATAACTTACAAATTACAAATTTTCACTTGAACCCAAATTAAACCTTACAGGTTTCTAGTCACCAACATGACAAAAACCCCGTCTCAAAACCAACTCACCTTCTTGAGTTGAAAATTCAGAGGGTTGGCTTAAATAAAATGTGAACTTACCTTGGTAACTTACCAAGCCAAAACAGCTTTGTGAAACAGCCTCTGATTTAAACTGCTTACAGTATGTGTTTTTTAACCTACATCTTTCATAGACTGGCATTACTGCAATTTAGGTTACAGACAGCCATCTTGACCATAAATGTCATATTGTTATCAGAGTAATAAATATTGGCACCAAAAATCCCTGTCACACCTTTCATTGTTTTAAATTCTGACGATATATTTTGAATGGCAATCGAGGGTCTACACTGGTCAAGCAGTTAGTAAATCTGTCCCCGTGTATCATTAACCAATCTAAGGTAGGCTTATGCTATAAATTTCCTTAAATTAAATGCCACTTGGCTTGACATTTTGTTTAAATTGATCTAAATTTAAATGGCCCAAACACTTCATAGATCCATTGCATTCATAGCATGTAAGATGTTTAAGTAGTAAATGTATAACTCACAGCCAGTTGAGACGGGGCATTTCATGGCAAATTGAGGTTTTAGGAAACTGTTCGACAGAATTATTTAATAAAGACCTGCAAAACACACAAACAGACAGCTGAGTTAAAAAATACAACTGGGAAATCATTCACAACTAAATGAAAAACATTTGACAGTATAGGTGTATATAACTTGAAGGGCTACGCAGTAGCTTTGTATATTCTATTTGATCCATCTGTCAAGGTCAATTAATAGTTCACTCTTACAGGAAAAATAATGATTTCAGGCCTTCAAAAGACTTCTGGCGCAGAGAGGATATTCTGTTCTCGTCCAGAATCCTACACACCCAGACAAACACACATCAAACAAATGAAAAGCTCACAAATCACTATGCACATTCACAAAGGGACCCTGACAACTATCTAAACTTGATCTGAAACAACCATCTTTCAGAAAGCAAAAGTCATTTGAGGAGAGCATGTCAAAACTCTGTAATGAGAGCAGGTCAGACTTGTCTCAGTCTGGGCCTTGAAAGGGGATGAGATTCATTTAAATAATTCGGCATTTCATTCAAAATCCATCAATTAGGTCTGATTGAAAAAGAGAGAGAGAAATGGCAAAAGCGCCAAGAGAACATGGAGGGAAAGCACATAAAAAAACAGGCAGAAACAAGAAGAATGAGACAAAGAATGAGAGAGAAATTACAATTGCCATGTAAATCACACCTATCATCTAATTTCATCTTCCATGTGTGCATGTGAGTGTGTGTTTTTATACTTACAGCCACTCCAGACTGCTGAGGTCACTAAATATGCCTGCTTTCAGAGACGAAATCTTATTCTGACTCAAAAAACTGCAGAGAGAGTGAGAGAGAGAGAGAGAAAGACAGAATAAGACAGAGAAAGAGAAAATCACATTAATGAAGGTCTGATGTTAAATGGGTTTTGTTAAGCTGCGTTGATTTTAGGGCATCTGCTGTATGGCCATCACTGCTGTTCCTCTTGACTTTATTCAGTCATTTATCTCTCTCTCTCCCTCTCTCTCTCTCTTCTCCATATAACAGCCATTTTCATTTTTAAGGCTGCTCCGTACTTCAATATGCGGCTGCTGTCCTGAGCTATTTAAGGCATCTTGCTGAGTTCTCAAACTCCTCTCTCGCCTTGCAAACGGGAGGGAGCCCCGGGCTAGAGGATCTCATGAGCTCAGGGCTCTCTCCCGGGACAGCATGCCAAACTAGCTTTATAATCAATCATCAGTGTAAATTCTTAAAGTAAAGTTTATTTACAAACTAATTTCGACAGAATCATGTGCTTATGATTGCTTGGTGCCGCATTATTCAATTTATGATTCACCAATCAGACAAATCCAATCCTAAGCCACTATAAATACCCAAAGTTCCATATAACAGCCATCTTCATTTTGAAGAATCCCCCTTCCACCCCTACTCCTCCTTTACTATTTGGGTGGCACGGTGGCCTAGTGGATATCACTGTTGCCTCACAGCAACAGTCACTGATTATAGTCCTTACCAAGCCAGCCGACGTTTCTGTGAGGAGTTTACACTTTCTCCCCATGCTCACGTGGGTTTCCCCCGGGTCCTCCGGTTTTCTCCTATTGCCCAGTAACATACAACTTAAGTTAATTGACTAATCCAAATTGGCACCATAGACGTGCTCCTAGTTATCTCTTAAGAGCAATTACTATCTGTTCATTAGCTACTAAAGCAGGGGTCAAAAAGCTCTGGTTGTGGTGTATTTGGGGAAGAACAAAAGAAAATGCATCTCATCCTTTATTTGATTTTTGTCACACTTTATATATTCTCTGTTCTTTAGGAATTTTTATGTGTGTCCTTTTTTATTTCTAGGTCATGATCACTAAGGCAATATTTAGAAAGAATGTTTTTTTTATTTTATTTTATTGTTTTAACGATAAATCTTATAGGGCCGAACAACATTGAACTAGTTTGGAGGTTGAATTCGGTTCTCTCTCTCTCTCTCTCTCTCTCTCTCTCTCTGTTCAATTCAATAATTGGTTTATTGGCATGACAAATGTTTAAAAATGTATTGCCATTATAATGTTTACATTAAAAAGAACACAGTAAATAGTTGTAGTAGTGGTAGTCTTCTGTTTTCACCATCACTATTGACCTTATTCTCCGCAGACGAGCGGGTGCTGCCATTTGAATCTTTTTGGCACGAGACTTCCGGTCTCATTCACTTCCATTCATTTTTAGACATTAAAAACTGCTCGTTTCGCTGTTTGATGTTGCAAACTGATATTTCCTTGTTATATTATTCTACTTGGTCTGTATAGTCATGCAAACATTTGTTTGTAGAGCAAGTAGTTTGACCGTTTTTTGCCGTTTATTATTCCTTGTCATTTCTCCCATAGGCGACTGAAACGGAAGTTCTAAGACAATCCCGAAAACAGGCGCACTTCCGCATTTTAGAATAAGTTCAATATGGTTGATTATTGTAAGTATGACGCTGATTAGACCAACAGTTATGTACGTATCGAGGCAGACCTCTGGAAATAAGTACCTACTGTATGTACACATGAACACACAACATCATTTGGATGCATTAAAATGCATTCTTTGATCATGGATATCCGTTCTGCCTGAACCAAGCCTAATCCACCATTGTCATTGTTATATCCATTTCAACATTGCTTTCTTTTACAGGATGAATGCGTAGATGATGAAAGCCTTAGACTGACTGATGGCACAAAAAGGTGTCTGATGCTCATAATTGCGCAGACAGATAATCAGTGTTACACATTCAGCTGGAGCTTTGAGAAGGATTGATGCCACGTGGCATTAATATAATTGCACACATTAAGTGAGTCATTCATTCACAGATTACTCACAGTTTACGCAAAGCGACCAGTCCTGAAAATGCCCTCTTGGAGATCGTTTCTATACTGTTGCTTTCCAAATGTCTGCAGAGACAGGAAAAATATTCACAGTGGTTTTTTCATGCACGGTGTATTTTTCACCTTATTAAAACATGCTCTGGCCCTTAAATAACAGCATAATCAATCAGAGCATCCCAAGTTTTTGTATAATAAAGCAATGCCTGCAAACCAAGTCCACACTGTTTCATGATGGAGCACTGCTTGGTTAACCAGTCATTACAAAAAATAAACCTTCAAGGATTACATAGGGCTTCTGTGAAGACACATTCTCTCCATCACTGTTTATGTCGGCATAATAATTGAATGAGGCTTTATCACAGTGAAATTTTAAATTTTTATGCTAATTACTATTCATAAGTTTAGAGTTAGAATGACTTTTCAAAAAATGTAATACTTTCATTCATTCATTTATTCATTTTCTTTTCGGCTTAGTCTCCTTATTAATCAGGGGTCGCCAGTGGAATGAACCGTCAACTTATCCAGCATATGTGTTACGCAGCAGATGCCCTTCCAGGCGCAACCCATCACTGGGAAACACCCATACACTCTCATTCACACACATACACAACGGACAATGTAGCTTGCCCAATTTCCCTACAGCGCATCTCTTTTGACTGAGGGTCAAACCCGAACACCTGGAGGAAACCCACACAAACATGTAACTAACTCCACACAGAAACGGCAACTGACCCAGCCACCTTCTTGCTATGAGGCATCAGCGCTACCCTCTGTGCCACTGTGCTGGCCGCAATTTTTTAACTAATTGAATAAACTGATTAAAATGTGACAGTAAGACATTTATAATCAAGACTTCTGTTTCAGTTGCAGCTTTGATGTTTCTGTGGATCCTACTAACATTTGAGGCAGCATATTTTTTTAACACAGGAATAAGATTCTTTAGAAATATATTAGGGTGAAGCAATGGCGCAGTAGGTAGTGCTGTCGCCTCACAACAAGAAGGTCGCTGGGTTGCTGGTTCGAGCCTCGGCTCAGTTGCCGTTTCTGTGTGGAGTTTGCATATGGAGTTTCCTCCGGGTGCTCTGGTTTCCCCCACAGTCCAAAGACATGTGGTACAGGTGAATTGGGTAGACTAAATTGTCTGTAGAGTATGAGGTGTGTGTGGATGTTTCCCAGAGATGGGTTGCGGCTGGAAGGGCATCCACTGCGTAAAAACTTGCTGGATAAGTTGGTGGTTCATTCCACTGTGGCGACCACAGATTAATAAAGGGACTAAGCCGACAAGAAAATGAAATGAAATATATTAGAATCGAAAATGTTATTTTAAACTGAAAATCAATTTCACAGTATTACTGTTTTTATTATAGAGAGTTAATCAAATCTTGGTCAGCATATCTATTGTATTTTTTTTTACAAATCTTACTGAATCCAAACATTAGTACGTTTACAAATCCAAACACATAAATCCTCGAATTTCAAGATCAATGAACTGACAGAAACTGCACGATGATCAAAAGCCGTTCATGCTATTCACTATTGATTCATGGTTGCTGTGGGAACAAAAACATTTAAAAGGAGCCTTTAATCTACATCAAACAATGAACCTATGATTGTTATCTTTATTCTAAAATAGTTTTTTGGTGGTGGCTTTTTCATGCTTTTGCTGATCGTCAGTAGAGACTGGAAAGCTGAGAAAGGGGAGTAAGAATCAATGCCAGAGTGCCAAAAGCACAGCTGCCTTAAATGTGTATGCGTTTAACCACAAGACTATAGACACACTGACTGTTCTAACATTTTCTGAGCAATCCTTGTCATTTATTATGAATAATTGATGGCGTGTCTTGTGAGAGCCTCTGCCTCTTTCTTTGTCTTTTTAAATGTTGTCGTGCTATACTGAGTGCTACATTTGAACTTTGATGGACAGTAAAAATGTCATGCTGTCTAAAGGAAGCTTCAAAATCTCAATTGCACTTAACAGCAAATTAAAAAAAGATGGAGCTGAATTTACTTTTTAATAGTTGAACAAACTGATGTAAGTCATATATTGCATACAGTATAGTGTCAGTCACCTTTTTCACCTCACACTCTGTGTTTTAACATAAGTTCATTCCATAAACAGATGTTGTCTAATATGCCTAAATTGTCTAACTGCCTAAAATGTTGACATCTGTCATCTTGGGTTTTTATTTATTTATTTATTTTTAATGTACATTTCTTTTCAATTAAGGGAATGCAAAACAGACAGCATATGGTAAAAACAGAACAGCACTGTTTATGTGTGTTTATGTGTTCTGTCCCGGCTGGGTCAGTTGGCGTTTCTGTGTGGAGTTTGCATGTTCTCCCTGTGTTTGCGTTGGTTTCCTCCGAGAGCTCCGATTTTCCCCACAGTCTAAAGACATGTGGTACAGGTGAACGAGCACACCAACAAGCTACAGAGCAACTGGAAAATTGTATAACTTTTTGGCAGCATGGTCTAAGCCAGGGGTCACCAATCTCTTCCTGGAGGGCCAGTGTCCCTGCAGGGTTTAGCTTTAACCTGCTTGGATGTTTCAAGCATACCTAGTAAGACGTTGATTGTTCAGGTGTGTTTGATTAGGGTTGGAGCTAAAATCTGCAGGACACCGGCCCTCCAGGAACAAGTTTGGTGACCACTGGTCTAAGCCAATATGGTTGGCAAACGATCTATGGAGAGTTTAAAACAACAGATTTTCAAACAAATTTACAATGGTGGACAGGAATTGTGTCAATTAGGGAATAATTTTTATTAATGTTATCTGTATGTTCCTTGAAATCTAATGACAATAGACAAAACTATTCAAAAGTCATTTGATCAATTTTGTATTATTCCTAGTAATAGAATTTAATTGATTGTCAATTTTACTCAGAAGGTGGCTCAAACTGACGTAGTTTGGTCAAAGTCAGGTCTAGATCACACCCATTGAGTTTGGTTTCAATACTTCAAACCATTGCAGTAATTCATCCTGTAATATCGACTGGCAGCATTACAGTACATCAAGTTTGCGCATGGGCTAAATGACAACAGTTTTGTCTATCAACATGAATTACATAATTTTTAGTCTACATGGTCTGAAGATGATCCGAGTCAAATTTGAGGAAGATTGGGCCAACGATCTAGCAGAAGTTAAAAAAATAATGGTTTGAACAAAGTCAAAGTAGTGAACAGAAATTTTGGCAGATTATGGCATAATTAGTATCTGTGTTGTTGGCATGACCCAAGAAATAATTTGAGAGCAATTTTATCAAAGTAAGCATATGCAGGCAAAAGTTATTACCAAATTTGCAAGTTTTATTATTAATGGCTAATGTATCCTCCTGAGACCCCGCCCATTAACTTGTGTTCTCTGTAGTGGGCTTTGCGTTTTCATAAATTTTCTTTACATTTTTTGAGCTACTCTGTCAAGTCCTGTTGTACTGTTCAGAGGACATTCTTTCTAGTGATATTTCATTTGATTGGCTGGCATGATAGGAACCACTTCTTACACTGCATCCAAAATGACCGTCATACAAGAAAGCACATTTTATGAGAAGGAGATAGGTATGTAAAATTTAGCTTTTTAAATGTTTTTTTTTTTTACTATTTTTATTACATATATATTTATTTATTAAAGTGTCAGGAACAATACATTTAGCTTTCAAAGCTGTTTACTTGTTTGTGTTTCAAAATGTCATCCTTTTTTAGTGTTCACTATAGTGGACACCAGGACCATCCTAATGTATTCAATGACTGCATGTTGTAGGAGGCAGAACTGAAGCAGAGAGGATTCTTTATTAGATAGTTGAGGGAGACTCTGATTTACAGTCTGACAATCAGACAATTGGAAATTAGAGACAATTAGAGAATGACACTCAGTTTTAAATTGTTTTTATGTTGAGATTAACAGAACAGATTAACTTCTCTTTTTTTGAGTTTTTTTGAGTTCATCTCTCTTTCAGACTGAACTGCTTCAGGAATTTCAATACAAAAGGAAAAAAATGGCTTTTGTTTTGTTTTTGTTATATTAATATTGGATTAACATCCCTTTACAGCCAGATCCTGTACAGTTTTGTTTTCTAAGTTTGTTGGTCGTTTCGAACTAAAATGATCCTGTGGTCCACTACAGTGGACATGCTGTAAAACTAAAAATTTTAAAATACAAAATGTAAAAACTCTAAATTGTAAAAGGTTTTTATCCCAAAGGATGTAGGAAATCACAGAAAAAAAAAAAACTATTTCTGTGGGTCTCAGCAGGGTATGTCTTATAACTCTTGACCCACAGGTGGGACTGTCACCAATTTTTTATGAGGTGGTCAGTGTGAGGCGACAATGACAGACCTAAATTGGTGTCATTCTCTTTAACTATCGAGAGATACAGCTTCAGATGAGGTTTGGCATCATGCCAGCACATTTTTTTAGTGCAGTAAACAAAAACTGTTACACCTATCAACACAAATTCAAAATCTTTTGTCAGCATGGTCTGAAGATGATCTGTGACTAATTTGGTGCAAATCAGCCAAATGATATAGGAGGAGTTTGAAAAAGTAGATTTTTGACTTAAGGCTAGATGACGAACAGGAAGTTCAGTTAATTAAGGCATAATTGGTATCAATATTCTCAGAACAAACCAAATGAATATATCAAGATAAGTGTCATAACAATAGGCAAAATTAGTCAAAAGTTTTTTGCATTTTTAGAAATATTATTATAACGTTTGACTAAAAGGTGGTGCTGTGACAAAACTTTTTGAGCAGCTTCAGAGCACAGTCCCGAAAACACATACTGACTTTCACAACAATTTGCCAATGCCTCCGTAAAATATAGCAATTTTTGGCATAATATAAAATGGCTGACCTGGGAAAATCAGACATCACTCAACTTGGCATGCTCCACCAGATATAAAGAGACCAATTTTATGAATTTTAGACGAAGGGTTGAAAAGATATAAGCAAATAAATAAATAAATAAATAAATATATATATATATATATATATATATATATATATATATATATATATACATATATATATATATAAAAAATTATATATATATTTTTATCTCCGGACCACTTGGAGGCAGGGCGTCGAAACGCTGCACCACACTTCAGACCATGGTTGTGATAAAACACACCAAGTTTGTTGTGAATACGTCTATGCATTTCCGAGATAACAACTTAAGTCTATTTACGCAAGCTGTGCATTAAATTTTATTAGCAAATTTATTAAAAACGGATCTTGTAATCAACCTGAATTTCAATAACTTTTGGTCAGTATGGTCTGTTGATCATGTGATTCAATTTTGGTAAAAATCGGACAAATGGCCTCGGACTACTTCGTTCAAATAGGTTTTACAAAAAATTCAAAATAGCGAAAAATTTGATTTGAATGCGTTTGAATCGCCTTGAGTCAAGAAATCAGAGGAAGATGTTTTGATCGACTGAGTTTTGATTGTAGCCAATTCGGTTTAAAAGATTTAAAGCATATGTGAAACTTTAGAAAAGTGGTGGCATTGAGAGTTTGAGTTAGAGAGTCCAAATTTGTTGTGGTTGAAGATCCGACTGTCCTAAATCAGTGTACCAAAGTTTACACAAATTCCACAAATGGTTCATTGGGCTGCCATAGACTACCAGAGCGGAAGAAGAAGATGGAAAAATAAAAATAAAGAAACGGAAGGTATACAATTGGTGCCTACGCACCTTCAGTGCTTGACCCCTAAGAATAATAGGAACGATGATCATGAGACATACTCAACATCATCGATTCTTGCTTTATTGTCAGTGATCTTGTTTTTTGTTTTGTTTTGTTTTTTTAGAGTAAATGAAATAATCATGATTGCTAAGTTGTAGCTAAACATCATTAATTTATAATGACTTGAACTCAATGCAAGGATATATTTAAAAAGTGTAGATTAGTTAGAGAGAGGGATTAAGGAGTAGGAGATGAGATTGAAGGATGAATAGTTACTCACAGTCTCTCCAGGTGTCTGTAGCGGATGAACAGATCACGAGACAGAGATTCAATTCTGTTACTGTTCAGCTCTCTGAGAGCAGCATGGGAGAAAAATAATGATTATTAGACATGAAAAAACTAAAATTGCGATTTGCATCTCATTCCCTACAGTCAAAACAAAAAACAACAACAAAATAAAATAGGAACCAATCCTGTAAAGTGGGTCTTTCCTGTTGGTCAGGCTTGTGGTCTTCTTGACTGACCAAAAACAGGAAAACGGCAAGCCACAGCACTGCTTTAAGGTTAAGTTCTGTTGCTCTCTGCTGCTAGTGTTATACTTACAGTGCAGTCACATTAGAGGATACAGCAGGTACATGGAGCAGGTTTTTCCCATTACAATTCACCTTCCGACCCTCACAATGACACGTGTCAGGATAGACATCTAACACTGAAACACACACACACACACACACACACACACACACATACACACACACACACACACACACACACACACACACACACACACACACACACACACACACACACACACACACACACACACACACAAAAGCCATTAAATATCCCACAGGAGTACTGTTCATTGACAATAAATGCTGTGTGGTACTATTTGCCAAGCAGGGATTTCCATATTAGTAATGAATATTGTCGGCTAGGCAATTGCATTTCATTTCAGATAAGAATGCTAATGTGTACTTATAAAAGTACTAAGTGTATAATTAGAATTCAGTGATAGTGCATGTGTCTTTTTATTGTTTTTTATGAGGCAGGCTTTAATGTTTTATTGGCATTGGAGCCTGTGCTAATTAGAACATACAAATCATTGATGCAGACACAAATTATAAAGGAGATATTAAGAAAGGTTACCTTATGTTTTCCCAAATAGAGAAACCCCTGCCATTAACATGACAAAAAAGACTTTTTTTCAACTCAAACTCCTTTTGTCCTTCCCATTAGTGTATAAAATCTGTGCTTTCATGCATTTTTCAATCCATTTAAAAACAGCAGGCTATCACAACCATGACCATTTGAAAGCTTTTGTTTCCTAGTTAAATAAATTGCTATGTTCCATGCTTTCTCCAGTTAAATTGCATAAACAATGTGTATTGATGTTACGCTGAAGAGAGAGACTGAGAATCAAGACAAAGAGAGCGGATGATTTAAATGTAAAGTCCTTATCATGGAGAGTGCCCTTTCATATCGCAGCACATTCATATTTCTCATTTCAATAGATCTCATTTTGAATATCTACCATTACTAATTCTCTGTGTATTTACATTTGCATTCCTGTTAACTTCATAAAAGAGCATCAGATTAGTTCTAACTTTTTGCTTGTTAAAGTCACTTTAGTAAAATATAGAAATGGAAATTATATCTCATAAATAACACAATACTTCAACACAGGCTCAATAAAATGTGTGTCTCAGCTTACATGTTTGTAAATATACATTTACTTCAACATATTGTCACCTTAAAATTCTAAGGTTCTGTCTGACATTTTTTGTCAAAATTGAGTTATTGACATATTCTTATTAAATGACAGCTTATTTACATTATGGGATGTATTTTATAAGTTGTTTACATTTTAAGACTTTTTATTTAAAAAACAGATGTTACGAACATACCGTTTGCTATATGGAATGCAAAAACTTTAAAGCTCATTATGTCAAAATCATTCAGTATGCAGAAAGAACTTTATAATTCCAAAGTGACGATATGTTGACTCCAACTTCTAGTAAAATGAACATTACGTGACAGTATGGGATATCAACAACTTTTCTTCTTTTCACTTGCTTATTCAATTTTCTTCAGCTTATTCTATGTGTTATCAGGGGTTGTCACAGCAGAATGAACCACCAATTACTCTGGCATATGTTTTACCAGTCTTTTTAGTTGCAACCCAGCCCTGAGAGTACAATACTCAGTTCTGGGAGATTCCCACTATGGTTAGGCGATGTCAACCAATTTGGCATCGTACGATGTGTAATGTGAAACATCGTGATCAATGTTGGCATTGTCGTTATAGGCGGCGGTGAATTAATTATTTAGGAATAATGAATTAATTCATAACGAGTTATTTATTTGTAGCCTAACGTTTTAACCACCTGACCGCATGGTCTTTGTTTTACCCATAACCAAATCATAAATAAATAAAGATAAGTTACACACAAATTACCACCTGTCAATCACTTTTTCCACAGGACACTGGTATGATCGACAACAAACTTAGTTGATAGGATAGGTGCACAACCAACAGGAACAAAGCAACAGTATCTGACAAGTCCTAAGTTTTTTTTTAGCTAAAATTACTAAGTACAACATGAAAGCGAAAAATTGAAGCAATGTATACTGACGTATAGTGAGACGCAACCCAGCGCTACATCCTTGATAAACTGTCAGATGTGCACTGCTCTCTGGGGTTTTGTGTCCAAAGCACCCGCTGACTATTAGAGCTCAGACGCACGCATATGCTACAGCACATAACTGTGTGTGTGTGTGGTCACGTGATGTTCATTTTCAGCGATAGTGTGAAAAGAGGGCTTTTCAGAAATTAGAAGTTAATTAGCATTTTTGGATGGAAACATAGCTATTGTGCACAGCTCATTTTTGCAGAAAGGCTTAAACTCCACACACATGGGAATAGTGGATGGGGAGAACAAGCTTATTTCCATTAAAAGCACAGGCAACAAAAACAGCTTCACTGTCTTAACAGCTCAAATTTTTCTGATTCAGAGAGGTGTAATAAATATTCTGATGAGTTTTTTTTTAGCTGAAACTTTAGAGACACATTCTGGAGACACAAAAGACTTATCTCAAATGTTTAAAAAAGGTTTAAAATAGGTGCCCTTTAAAGTTAAAAAAGACATTTCAACTCTTTCAACCCACTCAAAACATTTGAGACATGTACAGCTTAATCCCCATTGAGTCTGACACAATCACTTTTCCAACACATTCTGGTTCTCAGCCAAGTGGGTCTCCCTTACAGAAGTTTGACAGTAAGGAAGAACATCTATGGCATTTCCCATGGAGTTTAATGTTGTATTTTTACTCTACTACATTTGAGTAAAACCCTCCTTAAATTGTTTTGTTTTTCAAGCTAAAGAAATAAGATATGAAAGTGATATTAACTGTTTGTATTTTAAAACACTATTGGTTGTGTTTAGGGAAGTTTTTAGGTATGATAAGCCTTACCCTCTGGTGTACCTGTACAAGATGGATGCATTTCCCTAAACGTACAAAACAAAATGTACCCTAATATAGATTGCCAAAATGTAGATAGCAAAAATGTACACAATGCCCTCTGGTAGATTTGTTGTTTAAAACGTGCAGTGAAATGTACCTGGCAAAACGTATTGTTTCACAGAAATGTAGGCTAATGCAGGTATTTTCATTGACCCTGTATTGCAATTTTATCAAGATTTTGACCAATAGAACAAGGAAAAGTTTGTGAAATAAAGTAGAATTCAACGTTTTTTTATTACAAAAACAATGTTGAACTCTTCTCACATATCTTTGGGAGTTATGTCTCTAAGTTTAAAACAACACATTTTGGATCTGAGCCAACTGGGTATCTCTCACCCAAGTTTGACAATAAGGAACAACATCTACAGCATTTCTCGTAGATTTTATTGTTGTATTTTTACTCCACTCTACTTCCTTTATTTTTTTTTTCAAACTAAAGAATGCTGCAAGATATCAGAGTGATTTCTGAATCATGAATGAAGTCAAGTCTTAAACAGATTCTTTTGATTAAAACAGTTGAACTCTAATTTAATGGCTGCATATGAAAAGCTTAGGTCTATTTTATTGAATTTTTATTATTTTGACATGGACTTCACAAATACACTGGGCAACCAAATGCATGTGTTTAAGTGTTCTAGCAGACTTGCTAATTCTCAACACCTGTTGGTTTAACATAAATAAATATAAAAATAGATACATATACACAACATTATAATTCTTTACATGAAATTGCTTTAAGGCAAAAGCAAAGGTGGCATGATCAAACAAACTAATAGTAAACTAATTGTGTAAACACTGCTGTTTTGCTTTTGATCTCTTTTTAAGTTCACTAAAAACATTTATATTACTTTCTAATTTTAGGCTAACAGGTAAATCATTCCACCATTTGGCTCCCTTAACAGAGAAAACAGATTTACCAAAAGAGGTCTTATACTGTAAAAAGAGGTCTTGCTGATTTATTGCCTCACTGCATTATCAGGCAATGATATAGTCAGCATTGTTTGTACATGGAGAGTACTCATGAAACTGATGTTGGACAGACTTTAGATATAGCATATTAGATTAATGATCTCTGACTAATTAAAATTGCTTTGTCATAACAAAGCAAATAAATATTACAACCGAAATATCACATTATATTTAAAAAAGTCTACAAACCACAACTTCACAACCAATCAACAGTCCAAAACCACAACACAGTTACCCACACTTGACATTCAAAAAGTTATATATGGGCTAAACAAAAAATAAAAATAATGTTAATACCTAATAATATACATTATTTTAAATCAATCATTAGTCTGAAAATATACAGTCAGGAACCATAGGTATTATATTGTTTTGCTTATACTGTATACGCTTTATCAGGACCAGCTTTTGTTAAAAATGTCTTTAATATTCAACTGAATGAAGAGTCCCTTACACCTTGGATGGCCTGGAAGTGCGTAAATTAACAGACTTAAGGCAACCCCCTCAACAGACCTAAACCTGAAATTTAAAGCAGCATTACATGAACAAAAATGGGAAATTCTGAAAGTTTAGGGTGCCATTGGGATACTTTGGAAGAACAGCCTAGACTTTGATGCCAATCCATATTTCAGCTCAAGTGCTGGATCTGTTTACTTCATCCACCTTTGCCCTGAACCTTGAAGATTTCTGAATGAAAATCCCCCTTGACTCTCACTTCCATCACTTTGAGCAGCAAGTCATGGCAAATATCAAAGCCCAGCTATCCCAGCTACTATGCACCCTAATCAAAATGCCTACAGGAGTAACCGCTCAACCGAGGATGCCAAAACAACCACCATCCATCTCGCACTCATTCACCTGGAAAATAAAGGCCGCGATGTCAGGGCACATTGATTTCAATTCAGCAACACAATCTTACCTAAGACCGTAATCAACAAACTCCTCACAGGACCTTTTCATCCTGCCAGTGCTCCACAGGGTTTTCACTAAAAAAAATCACTATCAGGCCTATGGAAATTGTTTTGGTGCTGACAGCAATGCCTTCTAACAGATAAACTGGCCAGTACATCACGTCCACCATCAGGAAGCACCCCATTTATCTCCCAGACTTGAGGCGAAGGAACACTATACACAAGTATTTTCTTTCCACAGGCAGTCAGACCTCATCTCTGCATGCCATGCCTGTACAGACTCTGTATATTTCACATACATTGC